CCGCGTTCGCCCACAAATATACAGTCAGTTCACTTTACAGTGTGTTCTGTGAAGCGCTTTGAGACGTCGAGAAGATGTGAAAAGCGCTATATCAAATGCAAGGATTATTATTGTTATTAAGAACTGTAGGGATGTGTGTGATAAGAAAGCTTGTTGCCAGCTAGAACAACAACTTGCATTCATATAGCGTTCCTCAGGCAGAGCGCCTGAGCGCAGAGAAGCTCAGAACAAGAGCCCTTGAACTGTACCACTTCTCACGCCAACTATCCCGTAACGACTTGATGAGAGTTTGGCCAGTCAGTGCCAAATATTTGGGCTACGAGCCCTCACCCCTGAATAGCTCTTCAGCACATTGACTGTAAGGAAGGTGAACCTGAAGCCATTTTGTACACAATCCTCATAGTCAATGTACAGAAGAGCGAGGCCATTGGGTCACCAATCTCTTTGATGAAGTTTTATTCTTGTCTTGATTTCTGTATATAATTTTCAAGTCTCATTGATTGTGTGTAAATCTGTGTGAATTGACATTCTGCGTTTTTGTGAATATAATTTTAGACCAATGAAGTTTAAATGACATTTACAATGCTCTCTGACTACCAATCCGTATTTGACAAGGTTTTGATCACCAAATATTGGGTATTGGAAGGGAAAAGAAAAATACTCGTATGCATCAAACGTTATTTAAAGTCTTCAAGTTGCAGAAATCGGATTCGATTTGATGCTGGACTCGCTACTGTGACGTGGAGTTGAGTCCACAGAAAAAGTGACCAAAGATATTAGGCCTATCTATACTTAGGAGCTCAGAGCATCGGATTTAGTACAGCTGAGAACAACGCAAGGAAGAATGAAACAAAGCTTTGAAAATGCACAGAGTAAAAGCAGAAAATGCTGGAAACAACAGCAAGTCAATCAGAGATGGGCAGATTGATGCTAATAGTAATAGTAGCAGGCCAGCCTCTCCGAATGCTAAAACTAACCTCCCTCCCTCTCTGAGTTACCGAGTGACCCCCCCCCCCCCCCCCCCAAAGCACAATCCAGGGCCTCTTTATCCTCATTTTAAGGATTCGAGATATTGCAAATCAGTCTTGAATCCTGAGGGCTGCTGAGCTGGAGAGAAACTGGGGAAACTGATGAGATCCCGACACCGAGTTTTGCTTGCAGTGTAGGAAGGCTGAAGGAATGGGAAGGTCAGAATGAGAGGCGATTGGGGAAAGGTGCAGTGTCGAGTAACAAGGAGGTCTGGATAATGTTTGCCGATAGAATGGAGGAGCCAGCAGAATGCTCTCCCGATTTGCTCTAATCTTGCTGACGCAGAGAAAACCTCCCTGGTTGTAGAGAACACAATAATACGATTAAAGAGATGAGAAGCGTTCATATCATTTCGAGGTTTTGTGCAGTACTCTCTGCGCTTTTTCTTTTGATCTCTTTGACTTCTCGACTGCCTCTTCTATTTATTCACCGCTCCCTCGGATCATTTTTTTTAAAATAAAGAGCTTTACGGTAAGAACATTTCTCACACTTGTCTTTTTTTCTTACTCGCGTCGTTTTGAGGGTTTCATGAAGGGCTAAAACGATGCAGCGCTCGTTAGCGCCAGTTCAAAGCGTTCAGAGAAGTTGCCCTGCGTGGTGGATGCAAGTTGTGGTTGTCATTCAATGTCATTCCAGGTCTGACATGTCAGCTTGGCTCAGTTGTTAGCATTCTAGGCCTTCGGGTCAGAACATTGTAGGTTTAAGCCCTATTTTGACCAACACTCAGGCGGAAGGAGTTTCTCCTTGGGGCCGAATTGACTCCCAAGGTGACTCGCAAGGCAACAAAATATCGGAATTGTTGTCTATCCTCTGTGGCTGCCTTGATAGTCCAGGTTCTGGGTCTAATGCTTTTCTAGAATTAGCTAATCTAAGTGTGCCCACACTGAGTGTTTACCTGGGGATAAAGTATGCATTCTGTTCCAAAGAGAGATTTCCAGGTATGTATGGAACTTTCAGTCTGGTTTGCAATGGCTGCATTGTTCGAGGTGTCATCTTTCAGACGAGACACTGAACTAAGCTCCTGTGTCCATTCTTTCACGTGGATGTTCAGAATCCCACAAAGCTATTCAAACTGGCAGGGGAGTGTCTGGCGTCTTGGTTTCTAGACAGTATTCTGCTGCTCATTTCCATCACGGCACAGATAGCTACTACACAAAAATAGTCACTGCACTTGATCGCAATTATTTGTAAGGTACTTTGAGATCGGACGAGACATTAAACGGTGTAGCCTATCAATCGCCTGTAAACCATCTGATGACAAGGATTTAGATACAGGGTGATTTGCTGGTGGATCTCTGCACTCGTTTTGCAGTGCTTCTTTTGAGTGTCTGTCGGTTGAAAATGCCCAGGCTGTTTGGGGGTTTACGAGTTTTTAAAAAGGTGGCAAGCACCCGTGTGCCAGACAAGGTGTGCGAAGGCCCTTCATTACAGCATCGGCTGCATTACAGTGAAAGGAACACGCCCTGATCATGCAGAGAGCAGCTGCAGCCTTGAGGGTAGGTGGGGGGGAGGCAGGGAAGAGGAGGCATTAATCATGTCACTACTCCGAAAACACTCTTGTGTGTTTCACTCATTGTGCAAAATCCTAAACCCCTATTACTGAATGAAATCAGTTGGGGGGTTGCGGTGGGAATGAAAAGGCCCCTCAGTTTCAGGGAGTGTGTTTTATTTTGTCGTCTTTAGAATTAGCTCAATGTCTAATTTATTAGTTAGCTTTTACGCATCTTAACCTCCACTGAATTAGGGTTTCCGGTTCAAATGCAGTCTAATCCTTCAGCTCAGTAATCCTATATTCATGATTCTGCTGTGTCTGCAGAGTAACTGAAATCTTGCAGTAGCTGTACTGACAGTGTGTTATTGTAGTCTGTATAAATGGAGGTCATTCAGTGATTCATATCAACTGAAGCCTGTGAATATTTTTGCAAACGTTATGCATTGACTGTGGCTGGGTGTTCTTTCTGCACACGTACAGTAAATGCCGGAGATGTGTTGAGGCCCTGAACCGAATGCAAAGATCGCTATGATTGATCAGTATTGCATTTGGCTTCCAACTGATCTCTGATGCAGTGGAGAGTTCTTTTTTCCATTTCATTGTGTGACGCGAAGAGGGACGCAATGTATTGTTTTTTCTATTCTGACTCTTGCCCCACCACCCCCCCCTCTCTCTCTCCCAGGCGTACACTATCTGACCAATTCTCTTTCCCCCCCACCACCACCACACCACCTCCTGCCCACATGTGCTTTCTGGGGGTTTACAGCTGAGGAGACTGGAGGGGAGGGGATAAAAGAGGAGAGATGGCCTCCTGCTCTCACATCTAATCACAGGCGCAGGATTACCCTTGGGACGCTACTCGCTTCATTTTGTGCACATGTGACCCAGCAAGACTCCAATCTAAGCCCTGTTTGCTTTAAGGGATTTTTCTCGGGGAGGGGAGGCTGCAAACCGAGTGCATTGAAGCATCAAATGAACCCGAGCCTTTCAAGTTTTTTCAGGCACACAGAGAAGCTTGTTAATTTTAGATGATGTGTCACTTCGGTGGGTGAGTGAGAGGTGGGAGTGGGGGAAGGAAAGGACCACGAGGAGATTAACTGATCACCAAGGTGACGAATGGAATAAATTAGGACAAAGCCGACAGAGAGGCGGGATGTGTCTCTGCGTATTCATTCACATCGACTGAGTGACTCCGGGTAGAACTGTCTCTCCCTCGCCAGTTAAAACACTGGAGCCATTTGCAGCCCTGTGTTCCCATTTTACGCAAAGTAAAATGACTTGAAATCATAATCATCGTTCTATTAAGGTGAGGGCAGAGGAAGAATGATTATTGTGCCTGGTGAGAGAGATTATTCAGTGATCTGAAGAAGCTGTTTGTCATATGTTTTGTAAACTGTTGCTGGTTTCATTTGCACACGTTTTGTATATCTGGAAAAAGTTTACTAACTTAAATCTGTTTTATTGAATCGCCGGTTACTGTGTTGCATTTTATATAGAACCATAAATACCGTGATGTATTGTTGTGTTGTGAATAGGCACTCGAAATTCAGAATTAAATTGAAATGCCGCTAATTCGGGTTAACATTTTAAGCGTCAAAATGGGGTTCAGGGTGAAGATGGCATGTATGATGGCATCCATTGTGGAGTCCTGTAGCTCAGTGGTTAGAGCACTCGCCTCGCAAGCGAGAGGACATGGACATGATTCCCGGAAGAGGTGGAACCATAGGCAATTTTCTTTACTGCACATGCTGTTTACCTAGTAGTAACTAGGAACCCAATTGTTAGCTGATTAGTGGATCGCTTTCTGTGGGTAATAATCTCTCTGAAAAACAAATTATTATTATTATTTGGTCACTCAATCCACGACTATTTGTGGGACATTGCTGTGCGTGTGTTTTGCAGTCCATTCACTTTACAATATATTCAGTGAAGCGTTTTGAGACATCTCCATGGTATGATATATCAAATGCAAAGATTATTATTCTAGATTACATGATCTGCCATATTTAAACACTTGTAGTGTGGACACTTTGGAGGGGGCAGGTCATTGACAGAAACACAGCAGCTCAGGAACATAATGTGTGCTACCAACAAGGGTTAAATGTTACCGACAACCCTTAAAATAATAATTCCCTGATTAATAAACTTGTCAAGCAAGGGAGTTACAGCAATGTAAGGGCCATCTATTTGGAGTCTTATCTGAATAAATTTGAAGCACTTTGGGATGTGCATACACGTAAGTTGTTGTGTTGTTGTTGCTCCTGATACGAAAAGCAGTTTATAAATGTAAATTTGTTCTGCATTGCATAGGTACTAATTGTCTTTGTATTTTAGTGTAGACATTTGACCGTACAGTAACATGCTACCAAAGTATGAAAAACCCAATAGACAATGCCCTACGTACAGTGGTTGATCAGAACTTGTAGGTTATCTCTGGTGTAATATTTTTCTGGTTTTTTTTTTTTGGTGTGTGTCGTAGCTAATAAACCAGAACCAGAATGGAGGACATAGTGGTCGCTGGGATTGCAGGAAGACTCCCGGAGTCAGACAACTTGCAAGAATTCTGGGATAACCTGATCAATGGTGTTGATATGGTAACGGAAGATGACAGACGATGGAAGCCAGGTACTGGGCTACAATGTCTGACCCTTTCCTGCTTAATGCAGAGTTGCGCAAGCTTTTAAAGGACAATAAAGATACAGTCCTCTTCGCTTTACGTTTTCCCCGTCCTAAAGTACGTTTAACTTTTCTGTAGTGGGGACACGTTTTTTTCATTTCCTTGCTGTTCTTAGAAGGTTCTAAAATTACCGTGCGGCTGAATTTTACTTTTAACCCCCTCTTTCTCTCCATCCCCCCCCTCCACCCCCTCCACCCCCTGCAGGATTATATGGGCTCCCTCACAGAAATGGAAAGCTGAAGGAGATCAGCAAGTTTGATGCAGCTTTCTTCGGTGTCCACCCCAAGCAAGCGCACACAATGGATCCCCAGCTTCGACTCATCCTGGAGATCGCGTACGAAGCTATTGTGGATGGAGGTGTGTGCGCGTGTGCGCGCGCACCGTTGTCGGAACTCTATCCGCACCGTTAATAGCTCAGGCTGCGAAAAACACTGTATTACGCAGAGAAATCTTTGTTACCTCCCAGTCCGCTGGTTGCAATATCCCTGAGACGTGGAAACAAAAAAAAAAAGGCCAGCTTCTTGTTATCAGCTTGGCAGTCGCGCAACGGGCAGGAAGTGACTTCACTTTCTGTGCAACGGGCAGGAGATTCCATCACTGATGACCCAGAAGATGGCCATTATTTTTAATTTGACTAGTCGGAGCCAGCTACTCAAGTGTACTGTGCTCTCAGTAAGGGTGGGTCCACCGTGGACTTGCACAATAAGCAGTTTATTGAAGGGCGCTATAATGGTGTTGTTTGTTAAAATCAAAATGGTACTTGCACCTCTACATACAAGCGCTGTAGAGGTTTCACGCGCATCTTTGTCACTTGATAGAGATTCCGATCCAGAGTTAACCATCACCAGGTTTTGGGTTTGGTAGCACACACCTGTCGGTTTTTCTTGAAACGACATCAACCCTTCATCCGAGTTAAGTTTGGGTGATTTGCCTCCAACTCCAGATGAGAGAGAGAGAGAGAGAGTAAGCTTAGGACAGATCAGATAAGTCTGAAAGATCCAGACCGATTTAACAGCCATCCTCCCAGCAATAGGTTTCAGCTTGAAAAAGCTGCTGCTATGAAGCTTTGAGGCACAGCATGAAATTGATGTTTCAAAACTGTCGATAGCAGGACCAGTAAATCACCTCGCCAGTGCTTGAACAACATTCAAAATGTACCTACTCTTTGTTATGCAAATGCATTGAAAGTCTTTTGCCTTTGCAAACAGAGTACAGTGAGCATGCTTTTGGCACTTTGCATTGACTGGTCCATTAGATCATGTGCACCACTATCAATCAGTGTCTATAGTTGAATGTACAATAGAGATGCACCAAGGAGATAATGACAGGGAGCAACTTAGGGAAATTTTCATTAGTAGAGAATTGGTGCTAGGGAAACTGTTAGCACTAAAAAGTGACAAATCCCCTGGTCCGGATGACTTGCATCCCAGGGTTTTAAAAGAGGAGCTTATGAGATAGTGGAGGCCTTATGTCTGATCTTCCAAAATTCCTTGGATTCTGGAACAGTCCCCATGGATTGGAAGATCGCAATTGTCACACCACAATTTAAAAAAGGTGGAAAGGAAAAGATGGGGAACTATAGGCCAATTAGTCTCACATCAGTGATAGGAAACATTTTAGAATCATTGATTAAGGATGTGGTAGTGCGGTATTTAGGGCACAATATAATTAGGCCAAGTCAACATGGCTTTACAAAAGGGAAGTCATGTTTGACAAATCAAAGGATATTTCGAGTAAACTAGATAAGGGTGAATCAGTGGATGTGGTCTATTTGGACTTCCAGAAGGCATTCGATAAGGTGCCGCATAAAAGGTTAGTCCAAAAGATAAGGGCCCATGAAATTGGGGGGAGCATGTTAACGTGGATTGGGGAATGGTTAACGGGTAGGAAACAAAGAGTAGGGATAAACGGGTCCTTTTCGGATTGGCGGGATGTGACTAGTGGAGTGCCACAAGGATCAGTCCTTGGGCCTCAGCTATTTACCATCTACATCAACGATCTAGATGAGGACATCGAAGCTAATATATCTAAATTCGTGGATGACACAAAACTAGGAGGAAGTGTCAACACAGAGGACGTCATTAAAAAAAATGCAGCGAGACATAGATAGGTTAGGTGATTGGGCAGGTAGGTGGCAGATGAAGTATAATGTAGGGAAGTGTGAAGTCATCCACCTCGGTAGCAAAAACAGTTATTTTTTAGAAGGGGAGATTGGAATGTGTTCTTGGGTGTTCTTGTACACCAATCACAGAAAGTTAGTCTGCAGGTGCAGCAGCAATTAGGAAGGCGAACAGTATGTTAGCATTCATTATGAAAGGATTAGAGTATAAGAGTAGGGAAGTCTTGCTGCAACTGTATAGGGCCCTGGTGAGACCACACCTGGAATACTGTGTGCAGTTTTGGTCTCCTTATTTAAGGAAGGATGTACTTGCCTTGGAGGGGTGCAGCGTAGATTTACTAGGTTAGTACCAGGGATGAAGGGGATGAGTTACGAGGATGGGCTGACCAATTTGGGCCTATATTCTCCAGAATAAAGAAGAATTAGAGGGGATCTTATAGAAACCTATAAGATCATCAAAGGGCATGATAGAGTAGATAGTGGGAGATTGTTTCCCCTGGTTGGAGAAACTAAAACCAGGGGTCACAACCTTAAAATCAGAGGCAGCCCTTTCGCACTGAGTTGAGGAAGAACTTCTTCACTCAAAGGGCGGTGAATGTATGGAACTCACTACCCCAAAGGGCTGTTGACGCTCAGTCCTTGAACATATTCAAGACTGAGATAGATAGATTGCAAAAGGGATTAAGGGATATGGGGATAAGGCAAGGTTAGGTTATTAGCTGGAGTTAGATTAGAAGATCAGCCACGATTGAATCGCGGGGCAGGCTCGAAGGGCCGACTGGCCTCCTCCTGCTCCTACATGTTATGTTATGATATCTACAAATTTCAGTATGGTCGAAACTCGTATCCTTCCATTTCTGAGTTATCCTGTCAAGCTTTGAATCAACCTTGTAGCTTTGGATTCCTGTAGCTCAGAGGTTAGAGTGCTCGTCTTGCCTGCAAGAGACCTGAGTTTGATGGGTTCCAGGCAGGCAAAATGTTGGGCAAGTTTCCTTACTCCACACGCTTCTGTCTACCTAGCAGTAAGTAGGAACCAGGCTGTTAATTGATTGGCGGATCGGTTTTCCAAAAGTGATAATCCCTTCAAAAATAAATAAATTGGTCACTGAATCCACGACTCTTTGTGGGGACGCTGCTGTGTGCAATTGGCTGCTGCGTTTCGCCCACGAATATACAGTCAATTCACCTTGCAGTATATTTTGTGAAGCGCTTTGAGACGCCTCGAAGACGTGATAAGGCGCTGTATCAAATGCAAGGATTATTATTATTATTAACCCAGTGGATGATGTTTTGCGTTCAATGTTTAGGAATAAACCCGTCTGCTATGCGCGGCAGCAATACTGGGGTGTGGATTGGGGTGAGTGGCTCGGAGGCAGCAGAAGCCTTTAGCAGAGACCCAGAGGAGCTACTGGGCTACAGCATGACTGGCTGTCAACGCGCCATGTTCGCCAACAGACTCTCGTACTTCTTCGATTTCAAAGGTGAGGAAGGATTTCGATTCGACACGGAAAGAGCAAATTCTGTCACTCGGTCCAGACATTTCAGGAGGCGTTTCACATCGGGCGTGCTTCCCGTTTTCTTTCTCCAGTGTTCCGGGACACTGCGCCTTGTGAAGGGCGCTATATAAATGCAAGTTGTTGTTGTTGTTCTCTAATTCCATGGATAAAGTGAGTGAGCGAGCGAGCGGACGGGCAGATTTGAACTTGAAGACCGCCTGTGGGTGGGTATAGATGGCTGATCAGCTGAGTAGGACCTGCAAATGTCATCCTTCTGGGGATGGAGGGAGAATAATTTCTAAAATGGTTGCTCTATTTACCAACTCGAGAATAAAAATGGCTTTGGTGAGAATCCAAGGAGATGCCACCCTAATCTGCTCTCTCTAGATCACCCTGTTCCACTCTGCTAATCCATATCACAATATGTTTCACTCCAGGAACTTGTATCACATTGCTGCCTTATCGCTTTATTTCATGTCCTTGGCCAGTTTGTGTAGTGTATAATTTATTCTGCTCGTTGCACAACTGTGTCAATTTTGTTTTCCCAAAATTGTAAGCATAAAGGCTGTTTCCTAGTATTGGAGAAGGTCTTTATCAGGCTGAACGAAGCTGATACCCATGGGTTCGAGAGATCAGCTGCGAGCAATGTCTTGATAACCCTGGCCACTTCAGCCTTGAAAAGAGATGTCTCTGAGGAAACCTTAAAGCGAGGCAAACAAGATGCCTAATATGGTTAAGAAAGTAAATCCAGAACAATACTTTCTGAAACACAGAGACAGCACGACAAGAGGGCACAGTTTTAGAGTTGTGAGGGGCATTTTTAAGATGGATACTAACGTGTGTGTGCGTGTTCCAGACAGCTTACCTGGATGGCTGGTCCAGGCCACAATAATGCATTCATTTGAGAAATGGGAATATTGTAAGGGTGGTCTTCAGGAAGGAAGAGTTCAAATTGGCCGAAGGGCCATATTTATCTGAACCCCTCTTATAATCTTAATGACCCTAAAGTAATTGCATTCGGTTACAACATGTTTCACGTCAGAAAGATGCCTCGAAGCACTTTAGAGGATTTCCTGGATCTTGTGGATAATTTTGTTGGAAATCACCAGTATAGAGAAGTGAAAGTCGAGGATTGAGCAAAGGCGCATTTAGATTAACTTGCCTTTGTTCCCCACCTCTGTATGGTTTTAGGTCCAAGCTCTGCCATTGACACTGCCTGCTCCTCCAGCCTGCTCGCTCTGGAGAACGCCTTTCAGGCCATCCGACACGGTCAGTGCGACGCTGCCATCGTGGGAGGAGTGAATCTCCTGCTAAAACCCAACACATCGGTGCAGTTCATGAAGCTGGGCATGCTCAGTCCTGATGGAACCTGCAAGTCCTTTGATGCTTCAGGTAGGTTGTATGTTGTGTGCGTGTCCGACAATGTCAATTGGCAGATATTTTGACACGTGTTAGTGTTTAATTTCTTTGCGTCCGAAATCCACTCTTTGGAATATTCAAGACCGGAAAAAACCCATGACATTAAAAATTTATCCCCTACTTTTATCTCTCATGCTTCTCCATCGATTTCCTCACCAAATAGTTATCTAATTTCCGCTTGAATTTTGCTGCCACAATCTTTGCAGGTTTCCTTTTGCTTATTCAGTTCTTGCAGTTCAGCCGATTTAACCGCAAAAACATTTAGAGGTCCCTACCCTTTTAAGATAGTTTACGTCCATCCTTCCTTCTTCCACTGTCGAACGATGCCTCAAGCAGTTGTCATCGATTTATTTTTCATTTGCGGCTGTTGACCCAATTATATATACTGTTATATAATATACACTATATATACTTGCTTTCCTTAATAGGGCAATGCTGTACTGCTTTCCTGGCCTGTATGGTTTCCATGTATTATTAGGAAGTTTGCGTAATTCCTTAAGGTATTCCTTGTGTTAATTAAGAGTTGTTTTTTCTTTTTAATGGTATTAGCATCATTTAAGTCCTGTGCAATATTCTATTTTGGGGCCACATTTTGCTTTGTGTCACACCCATTCCTAACAAGGAACTCTGGCCTGCTTCACATCCCCAGCCCCACCATCGGCGGGCGGGCCTTCAGCCTCTCTGCCCCCACCCTCTCGAACTCCATCCCACAGTCACTCTGCCTCGCCCCCTCCCTTGCCTCCTTCAAGACCGTTTCAAGACCCTCCTCTTCGACTGTGCCTTTGGTCACCCTCCTACTCTACCCCCTCCACCCTTCCTGATCCCAACCACCAGCTCGGGTGTGGATCCCTGAATGTGCAACGCCTCGTGAACATGGAAGGCGCTACACAAATATAATTGGTTGTTGGTCTGGATTTCCAGGTAATGGATACTGTCGATCTGAAGCAGCTGTAGTCGTGCTGGTGACGAAGAGATCGGCGGCCAAACGTGTTTATGCTACAATAGTCAACGCAGGAAGCAACACCGATGGCTACAAGGAACAAGGTCGGTTGGTTATTTTGTCATACATTCAGGTGGGACTGGAACATAAGCTCAAGACACTTTATGGTCACTGTAATTTGGTCGTCTGGAAGAAATACTTTCCTTGAATTTTAAACGTCTCCTACTGGTTTCCCCTCTATGTATTTAAGATTTGGGGGGTTAAATACTGTCATCGTTTGCTCAATATGAGTTTCAGACCATTGCCCACAAAGCCCGTTTCTCACTAGGGGAGGGAGCTCATCGTTGTGAATTCAAAGGCTAATAAATCTTGCAAAGAATACTGCCCAATTATAACAAAAAAGATCGTAGGATCATCTCAGAAGCCTTTGAAGGGTGTTGATGCAGTAGAAAAATGAACCTCTACGGGTAAACAAATGAATGCAATCGGTGTTAAAAATCCCATTAGGTTAGATTAATTTCTAACTGTGAGGTGGCTGTTTTCACTGTACAGTTAATGAAACAGCTGGTGTCAGAACCCAGCCCATGTGCTTCTAACGTGATAAATCAATTCAATTCCATACTAACTCCCCCAGATTTAGCCAATTCCGCTATTTAACCGTTCGGTATTGATGCTGAAAATAACGACTCCAAAATTTTTTGTGATGTGTTCATTGAAAAATTGATACACCGAGAGTCACATTAATACTTAAGTGCATTTTGATTATTTTGTCAAAGAAAACTGAGCTTTGATCTGCATGCAAGATCTCTTATTGATGTTTTGTAGCTGAAAGTGTTAAAAGTGAACTCGCTTCACAAGAGGAGACATGTTACTGTCCTCTGGGAGCCCACCTCTTCTACAAACATTCTCTGAGATATTTTGTGCAAGGAGCAACAATTTTTTTTAATACAAGCCTTAGAAACCTTTAGAAATCTTTGACCCAGACATGGAATAAAACAACTGACTGCAAATGACTGACTGGATCGAGTCGGGTGAAAGGCTCTGAAAGGCGAATAGTGGAAACTATATCAATGCTGTCAAGTTGCTGCACTTTGAGTTACTAATGCACTTAAGTCAAAAGTGCTGATATGTATCTGTTCCCATGGGGGAGGATGATGATTGGGGTCAGAGGAGCGCAAAACCTACTCCATTCCAATCACCTCCCAATCTGGAATGGAAGATTCCTAGATTTTGATTGGAAATGGCATTTAAGCGATGAATTGAGATTTTGTGCATAAATCCTCTGATCAGTGAACAATCAATGGGGGAGTTGGAAGGGGACAAAGCCAATGTATCATCTCACCTTTCCAGTGAAAGGAGCCTGGTGTTGGGAGCTGTGGAGAAACAAATAAAGTGTGAACGAAGCAAATGTGTGCTTCTGGGAGCGAGCGATTGTGTATTTTTGTAAGCCACAGCTCAGCATTTTGTGTTATGCCTAGTGATCTTATCACAAACCAGAAAACAAACATCTGTAAAGGTGCGATTCTGGACAAAGAGCCAAAGTGAAGTATTGGCCATCATGCAGATTTTGCAATAACATCTTATTGTTCGGCAATTTTCTGTCCTTGTAATAGCCGCTGTTCCTATGGCTTCTGTTTGCAGGTGTGACATTCCCTTCTGGGGAAATGCAGCAGAGGTTGCTAAAGGCAGTGTACGATGAAGCAGGAATTTCACCGACTGACGTGGAATATGTAGAAGCACATGGTACTGGAACCAAGGTGTGTTCGATTCACCACCTTTGTTCTACTGAAACCCGCTGACTGGGCAGCAGAATTTCTACAGGCCGATCTGTAGCACTGCAGTGGTTCAGGTCCATAATCTCTCCCACATGACCTTACATTCATATGTGAGCCGTAACATTGGCAGCACCTATTCACCTGGGGTGGGGAAGAGTCTCACGATCGAGCGATCTTGTCTTCACCCCCAAAGCACATACCCACCTCTTCACCACAGGTAGCTATTGGGAGCCAGAACCCCGGTCGATTCACGTCCTCTCTGACATGTGGCCTTGAGACATTGTGTGGCACCCCCTCGAAGGACAAACTCCTTTCTTTCGCTCTCTCTCTCCCTCCCTTCGCCCTCCATATATGAAATAAGCCACAGTGGTCTCCTATTGCATCTTATGAGTAATGATCTAACCCCAATATCTGCCCTCTGCATCAGGACAATTGCCACGATAGCACATGTGTCAGGATTAGATTATTATAATGCAGTGCTTTGTGTATAAGTGACAGAGTGACTTTGTCGCTTAGCAATGTCCTTGTTGTGGAAGCGTCGACCTAGAGGTTAGGAATCCCAATCACTATTTCCTGAGGTTTCTATAACCGTGTACAGTGTGCAACGAAACTGCAAAGAGCAAATGGATCAATTACAATTGATTTGGATTGATGTTGAAATCCAGCCAATGGGATGCTAACTACTCTGAGAGTAATTCGAGCGACGAGAACAGGTTGCCAAGAAAGGTAATAGCAGCCAAAGGATTCATTTAAAAAGCAGCTAAATGCAATGATGGTGGAGTGGGGAAATGATAGGGTGGTTGTTCAGGAAAGTTGAGGTCGAATGGGCCAAAGAGCCTCCTTCATCCAGACCAATCTAACATTCATTATTTCCTTTTATCAGGTCGGTGACCCACAGGAAGTGAATGGAATTGTCAATGTTTTCTGCCAAGGCAAGCGGCAGCCATTGCTGATCGGTTCGACTAAGTCCAACATGGGTCACCCTGAACCTGCGTCAGGATTGGCTGCCTTAGCGAAGGTAAAGACCCATCTCAAGACCCTCCTCTTCAACCGTGCCTTTGTTCACCCTCCTACCCCTACCCTCCACCCCTCCTGATCCCAGTCACCAGCTTGGGTGCTGATCCCTGACTGTCCAGCGCTTTGAGACGTCTTCTTGACGTGAAATCTAATTTGTTTTTATTCTAAAGTCACCATTTACGTTCATTTCCATGTCAGCCCGGCTCACTCAGTAGCACTGAATTTGTGATTGATCCTTCATTTCATTCAGACTGCCACACTAGATAGTGTTTTTTTATGCATATATATATACATTATATAGTTTCATATTTAATACATCTTCCCCAATAAATATGGATCCAGCACATAAGCATAGACACAGCACAGGGAAATTACTAGCTGGAAGATTGCGTGGTGTTTTAAAATTATCTCAGGATACTGTATATAGTTTGGGACATGATATGTCAAGCGACTGCCAGGGTGGTAGAAGGTGAACTTGATGGACCTTGGTCTTCTTTCGCCGAGCAAATTCTTATATTCTTATGGTTCTTTTTGCTAATTTTGCCTGTTTTTAATCAAACCGAGATTATTATTATTTTAACCACGTGAAATTGAGTCCTTTTAACTTCCTGACTGCTATGTCAGTGCACCCTCCAGTACATCTGGGTCTCACTGTAACTTGGAGACTGTAAAATACTAGATGGGTTTTAATGGTAATCTTGTACTTTTTTTTCTCTCTCCCATCCTAGGTTGTGCTATCCCTGGAGCATGGTGTATGGGCTCCAAACATTCACTACGACACTCCCAATCCCGATGTGTCAGCTCTGCAGGACGGCAGCATCCGGGTGGTGACTGAGCCCATCCCAGTAAAGGGCGGGATCGTGGGAGTCAATTCCTTTGGATTCGGTGGTTCCAACGTCCACGTTATCCTGCGCCCCAACGAGAAGCGGGCGCTCCCTGCCCAGGTCCCGGCCACCCCTCGGTTAGTCCAGGCGTGTGGCCGCACAGCGGAGGCCGTGGAGGCACTGATTGAACAAAGCAAGCAGCACGAGGCGGACTCCAACTTCCTGAGCATGCTCAACGACATCTCGACCATGCCGACCTCTGCCATGCCCTACAGAGGCTACACGGTGGTGGGAAACGAACTGGACATTAAAGAGGTGCAGCAAGTGCAGGCCTCCGGGAGGCCACTTTGGTACATTTGCTCAGGTCAGTAGATCAGAAGATGCACAGATCATTGCAGAGGGTGGGGGGGCACGGAGTTAGAGTAGAACTGACGAGAGGGACTGAAAGGTTCTAAAGGTCTTTCTCACGTGTTGTCTCCAATGCAATTTTCTGTATGAAGTCCTTTCAGGTTGGGCTTGAAAAGGCCTTGGGATCTTTTGGATGGGGAAGAGTATAACTAACCCCTTCAAAATAATAATAATCGGTTGGTTACTCAATCCGTGACTGTTTGCGGGACACCGCTGTGCGCAATTGGCTGCCGCATTTCGCCCCCACAATACACAGTCAATTCACTTTACAGTATGTTCTGTGAAGCACTTTTGAGACATCACGAAGACGTGATAAGGCGCTATGTCAAATGCAAGGATTAAATCATAAATTTAATTAACTGTGGGGTTACACTGGAGATCAAATTGGCCAAAGGGACTTTTTCATCTAAATCTCTTGTGATCTATTAGATAATAGGACTCTGTGTTGCTCCATTCCAAAGCCTCAGGTGACGATGTAATTCTGTATCACTGGGTACTTACAGTCACTGTTCACTGATGCGATGTTGTCTGCCTCTGTAGGTATGGGAACTCAATGGGTCGGAATGGGTCGCAACCTGATGAAACTGGGAATATTCCGCGACTCCATTCTGCGTTCTGACAAGGCGCTGACAAAGACCAAACTGAAGGTCTCGGACCTCCTCATGAGCACCGACGAGACCATATTTGATGACACCGTGCACGCCTTTGTCGGCCTCGCTGCCATCCAGGTGAGAAACGTGAATCCCATTTCCTTCTTGATCACCAGACTGTCCTCAAAATGCCAACTGCGGCTGTTCTTTGACGCTGGCTACCGTATCGGACCCGCCACGCTATTGTGACCCCTTCCTCTCTTACCCCAGCACCCTTTCCAAAGAGCATGATAGCCAAGCTTGATCCTGTGTGACACAGTTTCAAAACTCGTGCTCGCTCTGGATCTCCGGGTAGTTTCAGGAGTGCAAATCCTGGCTGATTATTGTCTACTTAACCTGAGGGTGCTGTAGGTAACTGTAGGCCCTGGCTGAGATAGACAAACTCAGCACAGGCCAGTGATCAAGCTTGGGACTCTATAGCTCAGCTCCACTCCATTCATCTTCACTTACTGACCTGAAATATTGGGGGAGCTGGTATGCTTTTCTCAACTGGAAAATTAGTTCCCGGTTTTAAAAATATTCTGCACCGTTTTCATGCCTTTGCCTTTGAAATAAAACAATTTGGTTACTCGATCCATCACTGTTTGTATGTCCAACCGCTGTGCGCACTTGGCTGCCGCGTTCCGCCCACAAAATACACGAGGCAATTCACTTTACAGTATATTCTGTGAAGCGCTTTGAGACATCTCGAAGGCGCTATATGAAATGCAAGGGTTATTATTCTTTGTCATTGCTCTGCTCGTTGCTGATTTTTGATGTGTTCGGACCCACAGATTGCACAGATAGACATGTTGAAGGCAGTGGGTCTGAGTCCCGATGGTATAATTGGGCACTCGGTGGGGGAGCTGGCCTGCGGCTATGCTGATGGCTCGTTGACTCACGAAGAAGCTGTTTCAGCAGCGTACTGGAGAGGACGATGCATCAAGGAAGCCAAGCTCCCACCTGGGGCAATGGCTGCAGTTGGTAAGAAATGGTGGCTTGAATATCTCGCAATAAAACATATTAAAGTGGTTGTACCGTATAAAGAGCAACGTTTTTTTAAAGAAACATAATGGATCTTTTTCTGGGTTGGAGGTGGTGGCAGAGGGAATGGGTTTGTAACTAAGTTAACTCTCTACAAAAATGTAACTTGTGATTGAATGTTTGGGCATCTGACAGGTCTGACGTGGCAGGAATGCAAAGAACAGTGTCCAGAAGGAGTGGTCCCAGCTTGTCACAACGCAGAGGATACAGTCACAATCTCTGGGCCACAGGTAAGAGACAGCGGACAATAGAAAAGAGTCTGCACTGTAAGGGTGGCAGAAGTGGGGGGGGAAGGAATCGTTAGTCCTTTGAATCGAGGATTTCTTAGAGGTTTTGAAATCGTAGATTACTATTAGCACAGCCTGTGCCGGTTCTTTGAAAGAGCTACTCAATTAGTCCCACTCACCCGCTCTTTCCCCATAGCCTTGCAAATTCAAAATCGCTAAATGTTTAAGGCATCCTAAAATAGAGGAGGAGCAAATCTGAGCGTGCAAAATCCAGGTGATTATAGAGAAAGCCGTGATTATAGAGAAAGCCGCCTGTTAGTAGCAAAACCAACATCCTACGCCCAGATTTGGATTCCCAGTAAGTGAAACTTCCAACTTCTTGTTTGATCTCATACTTCCTCAGAGAGGTGCATTTTTGTAACACTGACTGTTCTCGTAGTAGAGGTTTTTTTCTTAAAATAGGTTCACGTTCTCTGAATAAATAGGAAAAAAATGTTACTGGTATTTTGCCATCAAGCGTTATCTCTCCTTGCAGTGTTAAGGAAAACTCTTGCTTCTGTTGATAACAGCCAACCTAGTGTAAAATTGTATTTGCTCAATTCTCACAATGTTATCCTAGATCCCTGGAATAGCCTCAATAGTGACTTGGACTTGGCGCTGTTTATCCCTCCTAAGATAATACTGTTGTGGTAACATTTCTCCACGTAGGAAAAGGGGTTGAATCATTGGTATAATTTTTGCTGGGAATTGCTGGTTTAATGTAATTTCATGACTGAGTATATATGTGGGGAATCAGAATTAAAACGCTTGTTTAGAATAAAGTCACGGGCGTGGATCAGAAGGAGATGGAGACCTTTGCCAGGAGCTCACAAGACAAGTCATAGTTGAGATATTGACTGCAGGATTTAAGAAAGGGATGGAAAGATACCTGGGAGCTAATAGTAAGAGATATGGAGAGGAGGTGGGATTAGGGAAGAGTGCGTTACACAGGCTGTAGAATGGTCTGTGACAGAGCAGGTTAGATGAGCCAAGTAACTTTCCACTGGTCCCAACCACCAATGTTCCTCTAAGCACCAAAGACTGGCTGGTTCACGCATTCGCCTAGTCTCCCCTGGGGCAAAATAATGTCCGGCGAACGTTTACTGACAACCTGCGCTGTTCCTCCCGCAGGAAGCCGTGAGTAAGTTTGTGGTCAAACTGAAGGAGGATGGAGTCTTCGCCAAGGAAGTCCGTACGGCTGGTGTGGCTTTCCACTCTTACTACATGGCGTCCATCGCACCAACCCTCTTGAATGCCCTGAAGAAGGTATGGCGAGGCTGCTCGATGACTATTCCAGCTCAGTCCAGCGAGGAATTTTCAATCGATGTTAAAGCAATACATTACGACACAAATTTATAGCTATAAAGCACCTTTCACGTGGGAGGACGTCCCAAGTTGCTTAACGATCCTGGCTGGGCACCCGAGCTGGGGATGGGAATCGAGAGGGGGTGGGTAGGGGGAAAGTGTCCAAAAGCGCACCTTAGGTAAGTCTTGAGACGGACTTTGAACGAGATGAAGGAGGGAGGGGTGGGGGGAGTGAGTCGGGGGGACTCTGGGATAGAGTTCCAAAGAGTGGAAGAAGCAACTTGAAATTAGTCCTAAATATTGATGCTGTAACCGTTTTTATCTTCCTTCGTTTTTCGCCCCCATTCTCCTCTTCCCTTCTTTATTCAGGTTATAACGGTTCCCAAGCTGCGTTCGCCCCGCTGGATCAGCACGTCAATCCCGGAGGCCAACTGGAACACTCACCTGGCTAAATACTCCTCTGCCGAGTATCACGTCAACAATCTGGTCAGCCCAGTGCTCTTCCAGGAGGGTGTGCAACACATTCCAGACAATGCCGTCGTAATCGAGATTGCTCCTCATGCCCTGCTTCAGGTATCTATCTGTACTTCTGTTTAAGATCGTGGACTTTTCAAGGGCAAGTTAATGAGAGTTGTGCTGATAGCTAATGGAGTCCTCAACAAGAGGATGCCTCAGAACAAGAGGACCCGAGTTCAATTCCCAGGCAGGGCGCAACCTAAGGGAAGTTTCCTTACTCCACAGGCCTCTGTTTGCCTCACAGTAAGCAGAAACCCGGTTATTAGTGGATTGGCGGATCGCTTCCCAGTGGTAATAATCCCTCCCCAAAAATAGTCAATCCATGACTGTTTGTGGGGCATCGCTGTGCGCAATTGGTGCCCGCATTTCACCCGCAAAATACAGTCAATCCATTTTACAATGTATTCTGTGAAGCGCTTTGAGACATCTTAATGACGTGATAATACGCTATATCAAATGTAAGTAATATTATCCAATCCTTTGTTATTTGTGGCACGCGCAAGGACATTTCCTGAGGATGCTGAAGGTGTAAGAAACTTTCTTCAATGCAGGCAAGAGGATCCCTGATGAGTTTGTTGTTTCTTTGCTGCAGGCTATTCTGAAGAGGAGTCTCAAAGCTTCTAGTGTGATCTTACCCCTGATGAAGCGAGGACACAGTCACAACGCGGAGTATTTCCTTACGCACATCGGCAAAGCCTACGCGAGCGGGTATGTGAAAACATGATGGCTTATTTGCGTATAAACACGATTGCAGACAGGACATTGGGCAATCACTCACAATACTAACCTGAGATAAATAAAAAAATCTGCTCATGTACAGGAAATTCAGCAGGCAAACTTTCATCTGTTTAAACCTACTTTATCCTTAAATTGTTCTCCTTGTGTTTCTCACGCCACCAGCTAGCCTCTTAGTTGTCACAAAGACACTCATTTCAACACTATCATAAGTATCAGCTCAGTTGGTACCACTCTCGTCTCTGAGACAGAAGCTTGTGGGTTCAAGCCCCACGTCAGCGCTTTGAACTCGCATAGTTTACTGATGCTCCAGTGTAGTGCTACGGGGGTAGGCTATATTGTTGGAGATGCTGTTTAAACCAAAGTAACATCCAGATGGATGTTAAAGATCCCGTGGCACTATTCAAAAAGAGAAGGCATTTTCTGCAGGTGTCCTGGCCAACAACCAATAATTCACCCACCCATTCACTTTGTGGCTGTTTGTGGGATATTGCTGTGTGCAAACTGGCTGCTGCATTCACCTACAAAATACGCGGGTAAATCCTCTGAAGCATGAAAGGCACTCTATATCACTATATATTGGTAACATTGAAGGCAAATTACAGACCACCGTTGCTTGGGATTTCAGGTTTCTGGTACCTTTAAATGTTAACGTGCTGTTTTTTTTTAAATGACAGAGTGAACCTGGACTCCAACAAATTGCACCCTCCCGTGGAGTACCCCATCCCAGCTGGAACCCCCTTAATTTCACCCCATATCATGTGGGACCACAGTCAGGTGTGGGACGTACCCAAGACAGAGGATTTCCCATGTGGTTCTGGGGGCTCGACGTCTACCACGGTGTTTAATATTGGTGAGTTTACCGCTCCCATTAGAAACCTCTCGGGCTGATGTGATTACACATCCCATCAGCATTGGACACGTTTCACATTTTGAGCCTAACCTTACTGGATTTGTTTTAATGGTGTAATGTCTGAAAGCATTCTTTTGCGAAACGATAATAATTACCAACACAAAGTTGATGTCAGTGGAGCCCAATTACTGTTGGGATAGATTGAGTTTCGACATCGCTTCTGGGTCTAAAGGTTCAGTCGATTGACACGATGGGCTGAATGGCCTCCTTCTGTGCTACACATTTCTATGGTTTCCTTTTCTCCACAGATATGAGCTCAGAATCTCCTGACAGTTACATGGTTGGCCATTGTATCGATGGCAGAGTATTGTACCCAGCAACTGGGTATCTGGTTCTCGCTTGGCGAACACTGTTGCGATTGACTGGCGCTGTTATGGACCAGACATCAGTGATATTTGAAGACGTTACCATCTACAGGGCAACAATCCTCCCTAAAACAGGTATGAACATTTTATCCTCATTGAATTCTATAGTCGCTGGATGGAATCCCTCCTGGACTGAGGTTGTGGCAGTAATGATAGTGCAAGAATTTTTTTAAAAATTTGTGGCGGGATAAAGGGTTGAAGACACTGCACTAATTTGACGAGGGTGGGTTTGGCGTTCGGGAGAGGGAGATGACTAAAAGTGCAGTCTACTCTGAAACGCCCTCTCACTGCGGACTGAGATGCTCCCATGTGGCTCAGTTATTGCTTTCAGCAATGGCCGAGGATTAACTCTGCTTTAAGTGACTCGAAACTTCTTGAGGCGAAGCAATTGACATGACAAGATGTTGCCGTACTTATTTTAATTTATTTAAAATAAATAAAAAAACGACCTTGCCTTGGCTCCTCTAGGTTCTGTGCAGCTCGAAGTCCGGCTGATGCCTGCGTCGAATCGATTTGAGGTGTCTGAGAACGGAAACTTGGCTGTCAGTGGTACGTTCCATTTACCAACGTTCTTTGTCCCCGGTTTAAAAAATAATAATCCTTGCATTTGAGAGAGAGAGAGAGACAGACTGCGAGAGAGGGATATAGCGCCTTATCACGTCGTTGAGAAGTCTCAAAGCGCTTCACAGGATATATTGTACAGTGAATTGACCGTGTGTTTTGTGGGCGAAACACGGCAGCCAATTGCGCACAGCAATGTCCCAGAAATTTACCATGTGAGGTTCCTAGACCCCTGAAGGCGTATTTAGGCGCTTGTATTTTGTATTTCACACCTGTGTCATTTTGTTTTGTAACTGAACAGGAAAAGTGTCTTTTCTGGAAGAAACGGCTCTCGATAACTTCAGGAACCAGATAAAGGCACGGCCGGAAATCACAGATACAGATGCAAAGTTCCACCTGTCCTCGGGTGACATTTATAAGGAGCTGCGCTTGCGAGGATATGACTACGGAAAAACATTCCAGGGAATCCTCGAGTCCAATAATGCTGGTAAATAGTGGACCACAATAAACCTATAGTCTCATAAACCTATAGCACATTTTAAATAAAAATCTAGTCATAAAGAAAAAAGACATTTGCGTTTTTAAAGCTTCTAGAATATTGCAATAATAATAATTCTTTGATGCATTTTGATACAGCGCCTTATCATGTCTTCGGACGTCTCAAAGCGCTTCACAGAATATACTGTCAAGTGGATTAGCTGTGTATTTTTTTTGAGCGAAATGCAGAAGCCAATTGCGCACAGCATTTCAAGAGATGTCTTGAAAGTGCTTCCCTGTAATCGTCATCAAATGTAGTGACTGTTTTTGATAGGTCAAACCAACAAGTTCCTGGGGCGCCCACTGCAACTCTATCCACTTTCCTGTTGTCGTCTGATCAGTAGTGGTATCCGTGTCTCTAACCTGAACCTTTTTTATACCAGGAGACACGGGCAAGATACTCTGGACTGGGAACTGGGTGACCTTCCTAGACACCATGTTGCAGATGATTGTGGTCGGACTGTCAGGACGCAGTCTCAGGCTACCCACTCGTGTCCGCTCGGTGTGCATCGACCCCCAACTTCAGGAAGAGAAGGTCCAGGAGTACAAGGATGACAAAAAAGGTAATTTTTGTGAATATTATCGCTGTCACAAAGTTGCCGGTAAGTTGCCTTTGTGGGAAGTGATGGAGATAACAAGAACAACGTGCAATTTATATAATAGCGTCTTTCACGTCGGGAGGATATCCCAAGGCTGAACAGTATTACACTTCTGGGAGTCCATGGTATATATGGTACCGCATATAGCAAGAGCTCCCGAGTGTACTTGAGAACAATTGCAGAGTTTTAGTTGCGTTGATTTAAATTTTAAGCTAATATTACTTGGTCGGGGGTCTTGTTTCTACACTGTGTGTGTGTGTGTGTCTCTCTCTCTCATGGTGCACCCTTCTTCTCTTCCTCTGCAGCTGTGGATGTCGTGGTGGACAGGTGCCTGGACAGTATAACAGCGGGAGGGGTGCAGATCTGCGGCCTTCATGCCACTGTAGCCCCCCGGCGTCAGCAGCAGCAGAGCCCACCCACGCTGGAGGAGTTCCACTTCAGCCCCTACGTTGAGACCGACTGTCTGAGCAGCAGTGAGAGGCTTCGCTCGTGCCTTGCCCACTGCAAAGGTGAGGGCTTATGCGAGGAATCACAGAATCCGAGGCATAATAATAATCCTAGCATTTGATGTAGCCCTTTATCACGTCTTCAAGACTGATCATAATATATCAGAACACCAAAGAGTTGTATGATCTCCCCGTCACCAAACTAATTCACTCTTTATAAATTCACAAGGTCGGTTTGGATGAAGAGCGCCCTTCAACCCACTTCATCTCGTCCCACACTTCTGCCTTCCCATTTTCAGCCTCGAACGGTTTCTTAAATGAGTCCGAAGTCCCGGCATGAACCACCCTTACTGGCAACCTGTTCCAGTTGTTAATTGCCTTCCGGTGTCTGTCCTGAAATTGCCCTTTGCAACTGCAAGCCTGTGTCCTCTTGTTCCAATGTCTTGGTGCATTGTAAAATATTGTTATTAGTGTACTTACTGAATCTCATTTAACACATTATACACCTCAATTGTGGCCTAGCGTGCCTAAGAAATGATTCCTCTTAACACTGGGAATCATCCTCGTTGTTCTCCTCTGCAATGCCTCTAAGATCTGGGCAGCTCAATTATGTCACAGCGACCAGAATTATACGCAGTACTCCAGGTATGGACTGACCAGAGCGATGTGTGGTTATGTACAGTTGTATAGCATGATTTCTTGTTTCCAAAAGCCTTGCACGCCAGTGAGTGATGGCCTGCCCCTGACCGAAGCTCTTGTTTTGCAGGTTACGTACAGAAGCTCCAGGAGAAGCTGTCCCACCACGGGCTGAAGCTGTCCTTCTCGGGCCTTCCCGACGGCCTGACTGCCTCTGCCAGGGCTCCTGACTCCGAGCGAGGACTTCCACACATGCTCGGTGTGCTCTGCAGTCTGGACCTGAATGGGAACCTCTGGTCGGAGCTGCAGCAGACAGTGGAGAGGGAGAAGGTGTGCTTGCGAGATGACGACTTGCTGAATGCGTTACTTGACAGCCCAGCACTGAAATCCTGTCTCGACACTTCTCTGGAGAATCTCTCCAGCAGGAAGATGAAGATTGTAGAGGTAAGATTGCGAATTTTTTTTTGCCCTCCCCCTTGCCTCGAAGAGTTTATAACGTAACATCTTTCACCATCAGTCAAAGGGGACTGTAAGAATAATAATTCGTTATTATCCTTGCATTTGATAAAGCACTTTATCATGTTCGAGGGACATCTCAAAGCACTTCGCAGGATTTACTGTGAAATGGAGTGACTGTGTATTTGTAGGCAAACGCGGCAGCATAATTACACATGCCAATGTCCTGCAAACCATGAAACAACCGACCAATTTTATTTCGGAGATTGTTGGCCAGGACACCATTCAAATAGCGCCATGGATCTTTAGCATCCACTTGAACAGGCAGACAAGAATCTCACACGATTCAGTGAGAGGCAATTTCAGGACAGTCGCAGAAAGAATAAATGTTGCTGCTTTATAGTGCGATGATGTAACGGGAAGATGGTAGACTGGGTTTTCTGCAAGGATAAGATCAAATGGGTGAGAGTGCCTTCTTCACCCGCCCGACCCACTCTTGCGATCTTGTTAGTGTGGCCGGGAATATTTGCAGGAGTCGTGTCCTTTACCGACTAGACCCCAGAGGCTGTGATAGTTGTGGAGGGCCCTAAGGCTCGGGTCAGCGTTCTCTCAAGCTGAAGAGTGCGACGTGCTTCCTTCAGCGCGTGGGCAAACCTGGAGAAAAATTCCACGGTGCAGTATTTTCTTCGATTCTCGCTTCCCCAAGAAATATCCCAGCTCTGCGCTGCGAGAGGTTAATGCGACGCTCTGCTGGTTGTGGGACGTCGGAACACCGCAGCTTCAACAGCTCGTGTTCCCTGCAACCAGTGTTCAAATGTCCGAGAATAGCACTGCTGACTAACTTGTAGACGGTCTGCCAAAACATTTAAAACCTGTAAATGGCAACTGAATGCGATACGCGTCAGGCAACGAGGAACCCTTTAGCGGAGCGTGTGACCAGACTGATTAACATTGCGAAGACTTGATAATCAATCAAAGGGCAGAGGAGGTTGAGGAGATGGAGTATCTTTTCGAGCATAAGCTGATACTGCAGCAAAGGCAGTGGTGTGATCACATTCTGAGCGCCAGCAGAGTAACCCAAACATTTTCCTCATTACTGATACGAGGTAAACTGGGTCTTATCATATCTGAGCTCATGTCTCGTTGCTTCCTTGAATAGTATTTGCTCGCTAGTCCTTGGATACAGCCTTGAGGATCATGTGGTGTATCATGTTTCGCCCGGCTGCTTTGGACACCTTCAATTTTTTTTGCAATTTTACCAAAACGCGCTCCATTTGACACATGTGCTTCTCTTGATCTTCTTTAACATCTCATCTTATCCTAACTTATCCCTGGAAACGCCGTCCACCGCTAACATAGTTTTAAAAAGTTCTTTGGATGCCACTTGCTTCTGCTTTTCTATTGCCCTTTTACTACCAAGTGCAACCTTATGTCTCCACGTGCAAACGCTTTGAGACATCTTCCCGACAGGAAAGATTCTATTTAAATGTAAATCGTATTGTATCCTGCCCCCAGCCCCCTGTCTTTTTATATGGCTATCTGTCTTTAATACTGGTTCCTTTTCAGGTTTATCACATTGCGATTATCACGCGTTGCTCCTTTACATTCAGCAGTTCGCGATCTACTTGTTCGGCTTGAAAGTCACACTGGATTGAAATATGCACCGTTTACCAACTCTGCCAAACAGCTTTGGACCTAATAATGGCTCAGTCTCTATTGTATGTCTCTGATCTCTGAATGATCTAAGCCGAGAAAGGCAGACACACGATTGTATAAACTTGGTAATGTCTGGTGAAGTACATCATTCAGATCGATGCAGCGTGGTAATTGCAGCTCTGATACCCTTGCTCATGTTTGACGTTGCTGCCTTGGTCTTTCCTTCAGGTCCTGACGGGTGACGGAAACTTATTCTCTCGTGTCCTTCCGCTGCTGAACACTCAGCCGATGCTCCAGATGGATTACATTGCCACCGATCGGAATCCCGACCTGCTGGCAGACAGCCACAAACAGCTGGAAGACCTGGGCATTTCCATCAGCCAGTGGGACCCGGAGACACCTGCCACCCCAAACCTGGCCAATACCGATTTGGTCGTCTGGAACAATTCCGCATCCCTGATCGAGGATCCCATGACTGCCGTTTCCAATGTGGCCGCCACGGTGAAAGAGGGCGGCTTTGTGCTGCTGCACACTCTTCTGAAGGGAGAAACACTCGGGGAGACGATTGCATTCCTTACCGGCAAAGATCCCAAGCAATCGCAAGGGTTGCTAACGCAGGTAAAGTGATCTAAACCATTCGGCCCATCGTACCTGTAATATTCTATGATGTAAATGATGTATATCAGAGGCCTTCCTTTGCATGAAAGCCCCCCCCTCCCCTGATATAAATGTATATTGTTCAATATTATTTTATCCTTTTAATAAATCTAGAATACAGAACCTCATATATTCAGCACATTTTTGCTGAACATCTACACGTGGTGGTCGGTTATGAATAAGATTCTCTGGCAGGGTTTTATTGTACGCTACCAACTCTTTGAGCTCCTCGCTGACGGTCTTTGTTTCTCCGCAGACTGAATGGGCCGAGGCATTCAGCCAGAGCTCTCTGAACCTGGTCAGCATGAAGAAGTCCTTCTACGGCTCAGTCGTACTTCTGGGTCGAAAACAGGCAGCGCAAAAAACACCCGTGTTCCTGCTTGTGGATGGGGCAGATTTCACTTGGGTTGAGCCACTGAAAGTAAGTCCTAAACTGAAGTATAGCGACTCGTCTTATCCAACTATCTCTTTCTCACTCGCATTGACCTCCCAGTGAAACCTTTTGTTGCCTAACACCTAAAGGGAAAATCCCATTATAAATGGGGAATGGAGAGTTTGCTCGGGTTCGGTTAGAACCCCAGTGTTGCAAAGGAGATCAAACGCCCTCAATAACACCAAGCTGACGGAGCCTAAATATCATGGCATAAGCGTCTCTCTTTTTCTTACAGGCTGAGTTAGCCGAGATTTCGGACGAGCCGATCTGGCTGATGGTGACCAGCTGTGGGAATTCAGGTGTGGTGGGAATGGTGAACTGCCTTCGCCAGGAACCTGGTGGTCATAGAATAAGGTGAGATTTAATAATAATCCTTGGATTTGATGTAACGCCTTATCACATCTTCGAGAAGTCTCAAAATGCTTCACAGGATACACTGTAAAGTGTAGTGACTATTTGTTTTGTGGGCGAAACACAGCAGCCAATTGCGCACAGCAGTGTCCCACAAACAAATTTACTATTTGGTACCAACCTTGCAAGCAACAGGGATGTGATCTACGGCACCACTTTACGACTTCTAACCTTCAGTGAATGATTGATTTAATAAAAATAATAATAATAATTCTTGTCCCGGTCACTTCACAATAGTCACTAAGTAAACAAATCGACACGTACGGCAGACGTTCAGCGCAAAACAAGGTCCCCAAAAGAGTTATGACCAATATATCTGGAGGGTTGTTGAGGGTCCATTCAGCTGCAATTTACCCATTAACTAGAAGTGATGAATGATTTTTATTGTGAATCTCTGGCCTCCAGGTGTGTGTTTGTGTCGAACTTGATCTCCTCCTCGCCCGTTCCGTCTCTGGATCGCAATGGAAAGGTGATGAAAACCATTCTCCGCAACGACCTGGTAATGAACGTCTCCCGTGACGGTCACTGGGGAGCTTTCCGGCACTTTCTATTGCAACAAGGTATTGGACCGATGTGTGTATACACTTTAAAGTTTAAATGAATCTTGGTAGCAATCATGATCAGATGGGAATGAAATGATTATTCCCGTAAATTATAACTAACTCTATAGCATTTTATGCAGTAAAAATTACAATCCTTCCATTTGATATAGCGCCTTATCACATCGTTCAGACATCTCATATCGCTTCACAGCATTCATAAGTGTGTGTGTGTAATATATACAGTATCGCGTCTTTCACATGGGGAGAATGTTTCAAAGAGTTTCACTGGATTTTAATGTGAAGAGCAGCAGAAAGTTCTCTCTAAGGAGGATTTTTCCTCATTCGTACATCTTCCATGTAAACACTGTTGAGTCTCTCGACTACAGGAATGTTGCGTATTAAAAGTTCGAAAGAAGTGACTTTTTTTGTGCCCCACCAACATCATTGGGTATGAGGTCATTATTAAGATGCTGTAAACTGCCCTAGCCTCCCTGTACTCCACTTTATTATTTCTTGAAGAGTTTTACGTCAACTACCAGAGTAAATAAGGCTTCTCTCCTCCCTGCAGGTCAGAGTAAGGAACAGACAGAGTACGCCTATGTGAATGTGCTGACCCGCGGCGACCTCTCCTCTCTCTCTTGGATTCTCTCGCCTCTGCAACACTTCCAGCCCATCGATCCCAACATTCAGCTGTGCAAAGTGTACTACGCGTCTCTGAACTTCCGGGACATCATGCTGGCAACTGGGAAGCTGCCACCTGATGCAATCCCAGGTAAGATGGCTCCGTTTCAACAGAAACCGGGAGGAAGGTAATTGATCTTCTCGGGTCGAGATGCTCCAAAGGTTACATTCAACAGTCCAGCCAATGGATACGGTCGCTCAGATGTGATTCTCTTAACGACCCACTAACCTGCTGACACTCACCATTTTGCCCTTGCTACCTCGTCGATCGCAAAGTTGTGACTCCTTCTGATCAGAACAAACTATCTTTTGCCTAACTCGTGGCTGCTTGAGAGTGGGAGATTCTAATCCCTGTTTCAGACATTGAGTAATGTTTCAAACGTTAAAAGTAACGGGAACCAGAAAGGGCCGTTTAACTGTTCTAACAGTGTCCGTGACCGGGTTAAACCCACTGACCCACATTCTTTCCAAGCCCTCGTTGGAGCTCAAATTTTTCCATCTGGTCTTCAAAATATCCTGAACTCCGCTTGGGTCCTTTTTTCTGTCATTTCTGCTTCTGATCTTCGTTCGTTCATATGTTTGTTTGTTTTCTTTTTTTTAAAAAAAGGTGATGTAGCCCTGCAACAGTGCATGTTGGGAATGGAGTTTTCAGGGCGGGATCCTGATGAGCAGAGGGTGATGGGGTTGCTCCCGGCCAAAGGACTGGCAACCTTCGTCGACTGTGACCGGCGGTTCTTGTGGGAAGTCCCGGAAACCTGGTATGTGTTTAAACAACCCGCCAGTTACTCAGAGCAAGGTGTTCATTCGATCCCACTGCGCTGCCTAATCCCTTTCAACTACGGCAATTCGCATTTATCCGGCGCCTTTTGCGTCGGGAGGACGTCCCAAGGCGCTGGACAATGAGGGGTTTGCAGCCAAGCTGCGGGTTGGGATCAGTGAGGGATGGAGGGCACGTGGGGGGTGGGGGGTTTGAGGAGGGAACATGATCAAAAAGGAAGGTGTTGAAGGAGGCAAAGAAGGGGGAAACCTCTATCCTTCATACACATTGAAGACCTTTCACCATCGAATAGCATTGGCAGAAGCCTAGGAGCCACTTTGACCGACACCCTGGTCAAGAGGCTGGGAGGGTACAAACGTGAACCCAAAATAGCTTTATTTCAATGAACTTCTTTTAAAAAAAAAATAAAAAAACACAGCAAAAAAGCAAATGAGACAATTATGGAAGAATTTACCAGTGTATTAAAACATGATGTTTAGCTATATATATATATTTCTTCAAAATCAGCTTTTATATCTATGGATAAAAATTATAAATCGCTTTGGATCAATTTGTGTTTGTCAAGGACCCTGGAGGAGGCTGCTTCAGTGCCGGTTGTCTATTCCACCGCGTACTATGCCTTAGTGGTGCGAGGGCGGATGAAGAAGGGGGAGAGTGTGCTCATCCACTCAGGGTCTGGAGGTGTTGGTCAGGCGGCTATCGCCATCGCCCTCAACATGGGATGCCGTGTCTTCGCTACCGTTGGTAAGTGATGGACAGAGAGTTGAATGGCTAAAAGCTTTAGGGCGACGACAACAACTTGCATTGATGTAGCGCCCTTTACGCGAGGTGGAGTCCAGGAGCGCTTAACAGTGGCGGAGTCTGACTCCGAGCCGGGGGGTGGGTGGGGTTGGGAGGGAGAGGAGAGGTGACAGTAAGCACGATCGAAAAGGAAGGTCTTGAGGCGGGTTTGAAAGTGGTTAGGGAGGGGGTGCAAGGCGGAGGGATTGAGGGAGGGAGCTTCGGGGTAAAGTGGCTGAAAGCACGGCCGCTGCTGGACACCAATGAACAAAATTTGCGGATTCATCTTGGGTGTTACCAGTGTTTTATGGCACTTGGCAGCGCTAATGATTGTGTGTGGATGTGGGGGGGGGGGAAATCTTCACTGACTAAACCAGCAGTGTCAGTGGTGACACTCAAGTTCTTTGACACAATATGCGCTTGGATCATTTCAAAGCCGTTCTCTGTTGACCAGTTTCGCTGTTCTGCCCCTCTCTCTCGCTCTCTCTCTAGGTTCTGCAGAGAAACGAGCTTACCTACAGCAGCGATTCCCACAGCTGAGAGATGATTCCTTTGCAAATTCTCGAGACACTTCCTTCGAGCAGCACATCCTACGTGTGACGGCTGGTAAAGGTGAGCCACGAAATGGGGTTTATAAAAGTCTTTTTGCTTTAATAAGAGTGTATTTTTTGGTGAGCGAGAGAGCCTTGCCTACCGTGCATTTCAGAGCGTCCGGGGAGAGAGAGAGTGTAAATTCTGTTCCAGACACGGGCATAGATGGGCGCTCGCATGCAGAACTCTGCCTGGTTTTGGACACGCTGTAGCATGGTGATGGCTTTCTGTGTCAGACACCTGCCTGCCCTGAAAATAAATCTGCTTAAACTGGTGTAGTTCTGGAAGTTGTACAGAAAATGCAGGCGGCATAAATGTGGAGGGAATTTAGCCAAGATAACTGGAATGATGAGGTGGGAGGGACTATTCGCAAAAAGGATTTTAATCGGAAAACTTTAATGATCGACCAATTCAAGAGACTCGGTAGGAAGGAGGAAGGCAAGGTGTTCCAAATCCAGTAGCAAAAAGGTAAAAGTTGGTTACTCCTCGCCCTTCACTAACAAAGCCGGGAAGGGCAGAATGGAGATTTGCAAGGTTTGACACAGTGTAGTCTGCGAGCTTTCAATTGGCAGAACAGTGACCCTCCAAGGCTGAAAGCTGCGCTCTTGTTTTGTGTTGCTGTCACGTGCAGGTGTGGATCTGGTGCTGAATTCATTGGCTGAAGAGAAGCTGCAGGCCAGTCTGCGCTGCCTGGCCCGTCATGGACGCTTCCTGGAGATTGGCAAATATGACCTTTCCAACAACAACCCCCTGGGTAAGTGGGGCACATCGACCCAATAACACGTAGGGCAATTGTGGTGAATCTAAAATAAGGCAACCGCAACAGGGTTTGTACCTATTGGTTCCTGACATTAATCAGATGTTTCAAATTGACCCGAATGAATTTGCTCTGATGGGATCTCCTCCCACACGACTCGGAGGACAACTCCTGTTGGCCACAGGTCCATTTAATGCACGCCGATACCTTTGTGCAACCCATTGCGCCTCCCACATTTTCTGATCTCCCGACATGTTTTAACTTCAGCGAGAAATGGAACGGGGTAAGGGTCGAGGAACTCCCAAGGCAGTGGCACTTTTCCCCACTGCCTTCTGGCTTGTCCTTCCTAAAGCACCCTGCACTGTTTTCAGGCATGGCCCTCTTCCTGAAGAACATAGCGTTCCACGGAATCCTGCTCGATGCCTTGTTTGAAGAAGGAAACCGGGAGTGGGAGGACGTGTCAGAGCTCCTGAAGAATGGGATAAACTCGGGTGTTGTCAAGCCCCTGAAGACCACGGTGTTCGATCGAGACGATGTGGAAGCTGCTTTCCGATTTATGGCTCAAGGCAAGCACATCGGAAAGGTGGTCCTGAAGGTGAAAAGACTGTTTTGTACCCTTTTCAGTTGGATGGGAAGAGAGAGACTCTTTGTATATGTAAAGGCAAAGCTACTTTTACTGACAAGCTACGCTTCCTACATTGCACGCTTCAGGTTTCTATTTTTTTGGTGGTGGGGTGGGGGAGAGTCCTGTAGCATAGTGGTTAACACACTCTCCTCACAAGAGAGAAGATTAGGGTTTGATTCCTGGGCTGGATGAAACCTTAGGCAACTTCCCTTACTCCACACGTCTCCTTTTACCTAGCAGTAAGTAGGAACCTAGAACGGTGGATCACGTTGCAGCAGTAATAATCGCCCACTACACAGGATATACTGTAAATTGCAATGACTATGTGGGCAAAGGCAAAGCAGATAGAAAGCGTAACGAATGTCTTTTTTTTGCTGGACAGGTTCGGGAGGAGGAAGGTCGATGTGGCACAGTGAGCTCCGAGCAGCTCTCCATCGCTGCGCTCTCCCGCACCGCCTGCCCGGCTGCAAAGTCCTACATCATCACCGGCGGCCTGGGAGGCTTCGGCTTGGAGCTGGCACAGTGGCTGATCGAGAGAGGGGCTCGGAAACTGGTGCTGACTTCCCGCTCTGGCATTCGCACTGGTACGTTATGTCCGCATGTGTTCCGGCTGAATTAAAAAAAAAAAAGTGTCTCTCTCTTGTATTTTAGTAACGTTTCAATTCAGAAAAAAATAATCCAGTGCAGTGTTGGGGGATGTTGCAATGACAGAGGTGTCGTCCTTTGGGATGAGATGTTAAACCGAGGTCCCGTCTTCATGCTCGTGTGGATGCTAAAGATCCCATGGCAATATTCGAAAAGAGAAGACATTTTTTCTCTCTCCCGGTGTCCTGGCCAGCAATCCCCCAAATAAAATTGATCACTCGCTCTGTGGCTGTTTGTGGGACACACTGCTGTGTGCAACTGATGACCATGTTTTGCCCACAATATACACAATCAATCCAATTTAGAGTATATATCCTGTGCAGCGCTTTGAGAGACGTCTCAATGACGTGATAAGGCGCCATATCAAATGCAAGGATTGTTATTAACTCAATCGCTGAACCTTCTCTGATTTTTGATTTTTTTAAAAGGTTCTGTTTTTTTTGGTAGTGGAATTTTAATGTAATTTCTTACAATTTTTTAAAAAGAATCATACAAGTTGCTTATAACTATGACTTGTGAAGGCAGCATCTGTATTAACAGTAAGACCAGGGTTCAAGATTGTGTAGACTACTTGTCCCATAGAGTAACAAGGCAACACCCCCCGCCCCCCCACACCCAAGTGAGCACTCAAACCCTTTGTGATCATTAGAGGTGATTGCATGTGACCATTGAACAAATTGTCCCTGGTCCCCTTCGCTCCATCATCGGTGGCCGTGCCTTCAGCCACTACGCCCCGACACCCTGGAACTCTCCCTCGATCCCTCCGCCTCACCCCCTCCCTTCCTAATTTCAAAAGCCACCTAAAGAACTTCCTTTTTGATTGTGCTTACGGTCACCTCTCCCTCCTTTTTCCCCTTGCCTCGTTGTCAAACTCCGCTGCTGTGAAGCGCTACGGGACTCTACCCCACGTGAAGGGAGCTATATAAATGCAACTTGTTGTTGTTGTATGTGACCGCTGGACTTTGCTAGCCGTTGACTGCGCCGACTCTGACGGAGTGAGTAAGGCTTGTTGTCTGTGGCAGGTTACCAGGCCAAGCGAGTGCGTGAATGGAAGGAGACGGGTGTTGATGTGCTGATTTCCACCAGTGACGTCGGTTCCTTGGAGGGAACTCGGCGTCTCATCACCGAGGCCTCTGCACTTGGCACTGTGGGCGGCATCTTCCACTTGGCTATGGTGAGTGACTTCAGAGAGACGGCACAGGAGAGAAAACTGAACAGGTGGGAGATCAAACCGCAAGGTTTATTTACAAGATTTAAATCCCACAAGCCACGATTCGACCGGCTCTTGTTTACGTTTCGGCCTCTCTGATGGGAGACTAGATTGTGCAGTATGTTAGCACGCGCCCCATGCATCTAATCAGCGCCTTGGGATGTCCTCCCGACGTGAAAGGCGCTACACAAATGTAATTTTGTGTTGTGACTGAGTCTCACTGGCACGTTTTGTTGGGACAGGTTCTGAGGGATGGCATGTTGGAGAACCTGACTCCAGAGCTATTCAAAGACGTCAGTCAGCCCAAATACAGTGGGACGCTTCACTTGGACAAGTAAGTGAGCCAAGGCTGTCCTGAGGAACGGGCTGATCTTCTAACGCTGATGCTCTGGGCAGGTTTGGGGGGTGGGGGAATAACTTCAACTAAATGTGTGTTCTTTGTGAAGAAACTATTAGCTCTTTTGTAGATAAGCAGCATATTTAGACCTGAATCTCTGGGGTACTCTTTGTAAATACCCACCTTTGAACCCTTGAAGTACTGGGGAAGAGCAGAGATCTGGCTATCTAATGCAGATTGAAGGATTAAAATAGCTGGAGCTGATTAGATGTAAGCCTGTAAATGCTGCACTAACCACCATTACGCTTGCCTAGAGCCTGTCTAGCTGTTACCCAGTGATTGTTAATACCATAGAGACTTCATTGTACTCCTGCAGTCAGACTGTTCTCAAGCATTGCATTTTAAATAGATTTTGCAAAGTCTTAACTCCACTGTTACCATTCAGGTACTATTCCCCTGTGCCCCGTGCCTAATTGAAAACCCTAGCAGATACGTAAGCAGAAAACATCCCATACTATATCCAGAAGTTTCTCCTTTCCTCATTGCTCTTTACAATCGGACAGGCAGATATGATGGATTAAGTGCAATCTCCTGCTGCGTTGGCCATGTGCTTTCATTCTTCCTTCAACCATGTGTTTTCTTGCTTCAGGGTCAGCAGGGAGAAGTGTCCAGCCCTCGACTATTTTGTTGTTTTCTCGTCTGTGAGCTGTGGCCGTGGTAACGCTGGCCAGAGTAACTATGGCTTTGCCAACTCCGCCATGGAACGTGTGTGCGAGCAAAGATGCCGCGATGGATTGGCAGGTATGTGGAGTGAAGCCAAGGAGGCCGGGGATGGGGGGGCGTGGGCAACAATAGGCCAATATTCACCCTTTTTTTTTCTCTGAGCAGCTGAAAATGCCGACATCTGAAGCTGTGTTAATTAACAGGCCACAGTGGTACCGCAGGAGATGTTTAAGCCTTTGTTTCTTCCCTGATGTCAGATCGGAAGCAAACTTTCCCTCCGCGCACTGCAACTGCTTTCCCTCCCAGAATATTCCTGACTATTTTGATCCTTTATTGAGATTTTCAGTGGTGCTATCATTAGTTTGCAGGTTGCAGTGAGGGGTGGGGGGGGGAAGATGTTAGTGGGGAATATTTGTATTCTCCTCCCCTTCCTCTCCCACCAAGGAGGAAACGTATGCAGAAGTCGTGGGAGCGGAAAGCGTTTTCTCGCATTGAAACAGATCTAAAGAGCTTCACAAGCGATTGTCAATTGTAGTGCCTCCTCGTTTAGGCAAAAACACAGCGGCTATTTACAAGGTATCACAAACCGCCATGAGGTGAATGACCAATTAATCTGGATGATTGTTTTAGTGGCCAGTGCATAGGGTTTGGAACAGTGCTAGGGGATTTTTAACGTCCTTGAGAAGGAATACACATCTGTGGTTGTGTGTGTGTGACATGCCATCCCCGACAGCATGTCCACGCTTTCTGTCCCAATTGGAATATAATGCCATGTTTTTTTTGCTGAAAGGAAATCGCTCTAATTCATATCCCTCCCAATGTGTGCTAGCAAAGGGAGACCTGCTCTGAGTCCATGTTAAATAGATGCAAAGGACACTGCATTGTTCCACCTTTAACATTTGGAAATCTTCAGTTTTTTGTAGCTTGATTTATACAAAATAAAGTACAATCTGCTCGCCATAGACTGATGGAACGTTGTTTGAAAATGCTCGCGTCGATCATGAAACTGTAGCCAGTTCCAGATATAAAAGGGAGGTGAAGAGGAAGTTCTATACGCAGAGGCAGGTGAGAATGTGACCTCACAGCCGGAAGCATCACCGTGTTTAAGAAGAAACGAGGAAGAAATGAGGGAGAAGGGAATTGAGGGGATTAGGAAGAGGGTGGAGACTCCTGTGGAGTCTAAACACTGCCATGGAGTAGTTGGACTCAACAGTGCTGCAATGTTATAATCATTCTATTGTTCTTGATCTATATCCTAGGCCTAGCCATACAATGGGGTGCTATCGGAGATGTGGGCATTGTCCTTGAAGCCATGGGTAATAATGACACTGTAATTGGCGGCACCCTACCCCAGAGGATTAGCTCGTGTTTGGACGTCTTGGACCGGTTCCTAAACCAGGCTCACCCGGTCATGTCCAGCTTTGTCCTCGCTGAGAAGACGATCGTCATGAAGACCGATGGCAGTGGCCAGCGGGACCTTGTTGAGGCTGTCGCCCATATTCTCGGTGAGTTTTATTGCTACAAATCGTACCGCGTAATGTTTGGCACAAACCAAGATCTGCCAGGCTGGAGGAGCGCATTATTATTGTCGAGTCTTTCTTACCAGTTGACGACCTCTTGCACCTGATAAAGGCCTGAGTAGATACATCTAACCGAGCAAAATTTAACAAGGATAAACATGCTTCACCAAGCAGGTGTGGTTCTTTTCCTAGGTAAAACATACCCTGTGGCTGTTTGCATTACACCATAAATGTTGACTAAAACTGGTTCTAGGTAGTGACGTCTGCAGTTAACTTCTCTAAGTGTGTTATTCTGGGGGTTATTAATGGGATACCTAAATAAGGAATCCGAGACACAAAGAAGGGGTGTGTTCCACTGCAAGAAAAATCCCAGCATCAATTCAGAAACTTACTATAATAGAAAATACGCTAAAAGGATATTTAGTTGAACACTGTATGTCTTCAGGGAGAATGCATTGACATAGTTTAAGCTTTGCTGATTGCCTGGTCCAGTTGAGATAACATGGTCCTGTTTTACCTATTTCCCCAAAGGCGTACGTGACATCAGCAGTTTGAACCCAGATGCAACTCTTGCTGACCTGGGCCTTGATTCCCTGATGGGGGTGGAAGTGCGGCAGACACTGGAGAGAGACTATGATATCGTCATGGCCATGAGAGATATCCGACTACTGACGATCAATAAATTGCGTGAACTGTCAAACACATCGGGCAAGGCGGAAGGTGCGAGGTTCAGATATTCTAAAAAAAAATAATGAATTTTATGCCCAGGTTATTGTTTATTCAGATAACTGCAGTGTGTAAACAGTTTGAAAGAAAATTATAATAATAATAATGGAGTTGGAAGTTTAGAATCGTACCTTAAAACGAATGATTCCTTAATTAGAGAGCTTTCAAATGCTGTGATTAATATACAAATAGTGGGTGCCTGGTAAGTGTACTTTACTGTTCCATGCAAATATTATTGCGGCCTCTAAAACTTCCGTTAAAATAATAGTTTCACATATTTATCGCAGTTTCAATTTTTTCTTAAAACGTTGCCTTTTCATTAAATCGCAGCTCATTTGAATGTTTTTCCCCAGCTCAAGAAAAGTGAAGTTTGTTTATTTTCTCGCACAGAATCGAAGCCGTCACCTCTGAAGAACAGTGCCGACTCCGACCTGAAAGATTTGGATCTCAACATTCTGCTCGTCAATCCCGAAGCTCCAACCGTCACCCAGCTCAACAATGTAGAGAGTAACGAGCGACCTCTCTTTTTAGTCCACCCTATCGAGGGCTCAATTGAAGCCTTCAAGGCCCTCACTTCCAGAGTCAGCGTTACTTGCTATGGTCTGCAGTGTACACAAGGTACAGGACTAGCCCACAAGACAATAAAACGTTCACAGCACAGAACATCTACAGCCTTTTGTTTCAACCGAAAGCCATTCACTTAGTCCCAAATTCCTCTGCCCTCTCCCTGAATCCTTTTAGATTTCTCCTTTCTAGATATTTATCTAGGACTACCATTATTGAAACGTTAGGCAAAGCACTGCAGATGCTGGAAATCTAGTATAAACACAAAAGTCGCTGGGAACACGCAGCAGATCAGGCAGCATCTACGGAGAGTGGAAAATAAATTAACGTTTCAGGTTAGATCTCTGACGAAAGGTCATTGATCTGAAACGTTAACTCATTTTCTACTCTCCCTAGATGCTGCCTGATCTGCTGCCTGTTCCCAGCGACTTCTATGTTTATACCATTTATTGAAACGTTTATACCATTTATTGAAAAGAGTATCTAAACCAAACTCGAGAGTTCCACATCTGTATGCCACCTACCATGGACGATTCCTTGTGTCTTGGATAGAATGCGCACTCTCTCTCACTGGACGGAGACATGCCCTCCTTACCTATTTGCAGAGAGTATTAGGCCCAGATTGACATGAGTCAATATGTGGGGACCCCAGAGTGTTAGTTCGAGGTAGTGCTGTGGGTTAAGGTGAAATATTTTATTGCCAAATATTGAGGTAAAGAAGGATATGAAGGTCGGCCATGAAGGAACGTTTAAACGACTTGGCTTTGTTGTCTAGATGTGTGTAAAATAAAAGTGTGTTATTTCTTTTTAAAGACCTTTGATTGGAATATTGCAATAATTGTGTCTCTGTTTCGCAGCTGCCCCCCTGGACAGCATTCAGAACCTGGCCTCCTACTACATTGACTGCATTAAACAGGTCCAGGCTGAGGGCCCCTATAGAATCGCAGGCTACTCCTTTGGTGCCTGTGTGGCTTTTGAGATCTGCAGACAGCTCCAAGCGCAGGCAAAGATTCCACGTCCTGTCGACTGCCTGTTCCTGTTTGATGGCTCCCACTCGTACGTGGCTGCATACACCCAGGTATCTAAACCATCAACAACAACAACAAGATTCCATTTATAGAGCGCCTTTCACGTCGGGAGGACGTCCCAAGGCGCTGTACAGTTGGGTCAGGACCCGAGCAGGGGGGAAATGGTCAGGGTGAGGGGAGGGAAGGGAGGGAGAGAGCGAGGAGGGGGTAGAGAGTCGAGAGGGGAGCCGAAGGCTCGGTCAAAGAGAAAGGTCTTGAGACCGGCCTTCAAGGAGGAAAGGGAGGAGGCAAGGCGAAGGCACTAGGTGAAGTCAACTTCAGTGACCGATAGTCCAGAGAGTACGAGTTATGATGGCTCGTCCCTCTCCGTGTATGTGTATCACAGTGGGTCACCCTCACCCTTCCGTGTCACACAACTGACTCTTTACACATTGCTGTAAATGTACTTTCTCTCACTTCCCTTCTGTGGCCAGTGCTTGAGAAATAACCTAATTTCACTTCACTTTACTGGATAAGGAATTTAAAAACTAAATTCACTACTAAATAATTAATTAAAATTATTATTGTCTGCCCACCTGCCAGAAAATAATCAGAAGCTGCTCCTGAATTATGTTTTTTTTAATGTTTATAAATTCCCTATGTTTTTCCGCTCTCTGTGTGCAGAGTTACAGAGCAAAACTGACCCCTGGAAATGAGGGAGAAGCAGAAACTGAGGCGATGTGTGCATTTGTTCAGCAGTTCACAAACACAGAATACAACAAGGTGAGGACTGAGCATCTTTAGTCAATTAAACTGAACAAACTTAAGAAAAAGTATTGTAGTCAGAGTATATGTGGATGACAGATAACCAATGTATTAATTCTTTGGGTTAACAGTTTCTTCTCGTCTCCTCAGACTATATGGCCAAGATAATAAACCTATATTTATTTCAGTTGTTACTGCATTAAAAAATAGTTCCGCCTCATTCTATAAAATTCTACAGTAATAATCCTTGCATTTAATATAGTGCTTTATCACGTCTTCGAGACGTCTCAAAGCGCTTCACACAATATACTGTAAAGTGAATTGACTGTATATTTTGTGGGCGAAACACAGCAGCCAAATGCGCAGAGCAGCGTCCCACAAACAGTCGTGGATTGAGTGACCAAATTATTATTAATGGAGTTTTTTTGCATTCATAATAATGCACTGCAATAAGGTTCTTATTTTCAATGGTTTTTTCCGCTCTGCAGATCTTGGAGAGATTGCTGCCACTGAAGGACTTGCAAACGAGAGTTGATGCAGTTGTTGATATGATAACCACAAGCCATAAAAGCATCAACCGTGACACACTGAGCTTTGCTGCCACCTCCTTTTACTACAAACTCAAAGCAGCAGATCAGTATATCCCTGCTTCCAAATTCAATGGCAACATCACACTGCTGCGGGCCAAAACCAGCAGCGAGTATGAAGTGGGTCTGGGTGGAGATTACAGACTCTCTGAGGTGAGCTGACTTGCTTATGGCGTTCTTTGAGATGCAGTTGTATAAATTATTTAGGGGGAAAAAAAATCAACACATCTTTATCTCACTCAGCGCTTGGTATCTGGCTGTCAGGGGGCCAAATGTTTTAATTAAACAATAGATATATAATTCATATATAACAATGAAAGCTGTGTGCACCAATAGTAGTTTCCGTTTCCTTTTGTAAATGACGGTCCTGGTGCAAGTGCACAGGTTTGTGTGGGCTACATTTCATCACATTTCCCGCGCAAGCTATCTTCTGAAGTGTAAATGCTGGTAGACTGACTCACACAAGCGGCAAATGAATAGTTTGGCCCACTTAGATAGTCTATTATATCCTTTCAGATGCTTGAAAGGGTTTAGAGTTGTAAAATCCAGTTCCAGGACAGACCAGGAAGTATTTCTTTACCCCAAGGGCAATTAACCCACTTGGAACTGTTGCCGGGAATGGTGATTGAGGCTAGGATGCTGGGACTTGTGTGTTTTTTTTAAATGTTTTCGAAAAGTTTAATGCTGTGATGGGAGGGTAGTAGGCTGGGTATTCTGGAAGGAATGAAATCAAATGGGCTGGAGGGCCTTCTTCATCCAAACCGATCTTTGTGACATGTTGAGACTTCTGTTGTTAATCGGAGGGATGAGCGACACCAACTTTGAATAGCTGAAAACTGCAAACCTCTTCGCAGTGAACTCTGAAGTGCGTTTGAACGTACATCAGCTTTATCTTTTTCCGGTGTTACGTAGCCTCCTCAAACGTCCGCTAGCGTTCTCGTGGGAGATGAGGTGGACTGAACTGTTGTTTCTTTCACATGGACAGGTTTGTGATGGAAAGGTCTCGGTACACATAATTGAAGGAGATCATCGCACATTCTTAAAAGGAGCAGGAGTGGAGTCAGTTGTCAGCATCATCCACAGCACCTTGGCGGAGCCACGGGTTGCCGCTCGCGAGGGCTGAGCCAGAGCAGTGAGGCATTGTCAACAGCCGTGGTTCTGACACGTGCAATAGACTGTACAGCTATTGTCTTTTCACAATGAATAGAATTGTTGCAAAACTGTAATTTTTTTTTGTGTGGCTTACAATTGTAGCTCAAAGGCAGTAAATATAGTGCTTGATAGCGAAACTGGTGCATAGAAGGACCAAAACACACAAGAAAAACTGACTGACCCATTTCTGAGACGTTTATTGTCTATGAGGAAATGGAAACCAATGATGTTTCAGTTTTTGTTTGTAAAGTTGAATAGCTTGTAAACAATATTGTGACGCGGACTTTGCAAATAGCATGATCCATTCCTCTGTGTTTTTTAGAGCGATTGATTTTGTTTTCATAAAATGTTATGTTTATATAATTTTTTCCTTCTATACTGTAAACTATTTATTTTTTGGTGTGTGCGTGGAATTAAAATAAAGGTGCAGTTCATTTGGCAGTAAAATGTTTGGCACTCTCCATCCACTCAAACCTTGGATCGTTGAGTTGCAGATATTGTTATCATTTAGAAAGGTCAGTGACCAATTGCAACTGGGATGAATTGGTGGCTTGAATGCGTTTTGATCCCATGCATTTCCCTCTCCCTCCCAGCACGCTTGACTAAAGATTTATCAGTCAATCAGGCTTACTGGATGGTAAACCACACAACATTGAAGCTGTCTGTCAGAGTGAATAAAAACCTGGGGGAATGAAAAATGCTATGTGCCATCATCGTGCACTGCCCACCACCAACTCCTCAGCACGTAAGATTGGTGACAGTCTCGGCAAAGATTCTTTTCCCACAGTTTAGACCCTCCGAAGCTGATAGAGGGAATCTGATGGTGCGCAATTTCTCAAAGGAGGGTGAAGCTGCCCAAACTGTTTCATTAAATAAAATAACTAACAAGACCCAAACTTGCATTGTAAGGGTATTTATTGCCTGCGTAGGTTATTCAAGAGCAATTGGCTGCCGCGTTTCGCCCACAAAATATACAGTCAATTCACTTTACAGTATATTCTGTGAAGCGCTTAGAGACGACTCAATGATGTAATACGTCACTATATCAAACGCAAGGATTATTATAAGAGCAGCAACTGGCCTGTTTCTGTGGAGGTGGGAGGAAAACCTTACTTTCTCTCTAATGTAATTTTTTTATATATCGAAGGTGCTTCCGATGGATGCAAAGTTTGAAAAAATTGCATTTTGAGCAGAATTTCCCCCAATAAACAGCAGAATAAATTGCATATGAAAAAAGATTATCCTATTCAGCATTTGAACTCGATATTCCCCAATTGTTTTTTTTCCCCCCAAGAATTACCAGACTCACAGAATAAACTGTTGAAAGCAAATGATACGAAGTCCAGTGACAAGGAGGAACATAAAGATACATTTGTGTGAGGTATATTGCCAGGAAAGAATTTATTTAACAATGGAGAAAGCCCTCCCAACGTTGACAGAAGCAGGCCAAATAAGTGAGGTGTTTGAAATGTCAGTGGACAATGTAGCTCATTGAATTCTTTTTCATGTATTTGTGATGTGTCTATGTTTTCCTTGGTTTTGTAAAATGGCTACTCTGGACAGTATTCATGGCTTTTATTTTATGTTTTAATAAAAATCAATATCCGAAATGGTTTCCAAAAGATTTCATTTAACGGGACCAACAAAGGTCATTTTATTCTCAGAAGGGGAATAACCTCAGTCTATTATGATCAACTTTTGCTTCTTACAGAGCCTCAAATACTATAGTTGACAGTAATTACCTGCCGAGCACTTTTAGATGTTTTGACTTTATGGGTGTTATAACAGGACCTTGAGGAATTCTGAGCCACAGGTCACAGATCCTGCTTTAGGGCTAAAGGTTGTTCCTTCCCACTCAGCTCTAAAACCATTTTTGTCATTCACTTATTGAGGGTTGATTGGTCAGCCGGTGAGTTCTCACCATTGAAAATTGCTGCTGTCACTGAAGATTCAGCAACGTTTATCGCATTTTGCACAAATGTTTTTGAATTTTGTGGTTTTAAATTAAGATATTACTTTATCTGCTCATATACAATCGCATTTCTGCCTTTGTTCTTCTGTTTAATAACAACATGGTGAAGTGTCGCTGCAAACTTACATCCTATATCAATCCTATAAGCACCCACTATTCTATGCTACCAAAAATACTTTTTCCATTGAGGTAACGCATTGTTTCCTATTAAATCAAACGCTTTTATCTTTTGCATATTGAGAAATATACAACTTCAACAACAAATAGTTTAAACTGCATAATAATAGCTTGTGTTTAAATAGTGGCATTCACAGAACGCAGAACATCTTGTAACGCCTTACAAAATAAAAAGAAATACATTAAATAAAACAAAAGGTACATTAGATAGATGGATGGATTCGACAAAAGATAACGAAATAATAATAATCCTTGCCCGTGATACAGCGCCTTATCACGCCTTCGAGACGTCTCAAAAGCGCCGCACGGAACGTAGCGTAAAGTGCGGTGACTGTAATTTGTGGGCGAATAAAAAGGGTAAACCAACAACAACAACGCGACAAGAAGATTCCACTTATAGAGCGCCTTTCACGTCGGGAGGACAACAACAACAACAACAACTTGGATTTATAGAGCGCCCTCCACGCCGGACGGCGGACAAATAAACAAATGCATACATACATACATACATAGGTGCATAAATAAATAAAGCAATAAATAAATAAAGCAATAAAAGGGCAACTGCAGAGGGAATTGGTCTCAGGCTGGTGACCAACCAACACAGGACTGACAGTGGGTGAAGGGCATTTGTTGCGCGGTGTCATTCCCTGCGCGGCCGCGGGTGGCGCTGTGTGTGTGAGAGGGGGCGGGGTCGGAACGTGCCGGCGGCGCCTTGGTTTCCGCGCGGAGCTGAGAGACGGACGGACCGTCCCCGGGCGGAAGGTTTTCGGGGGCGGACGGACTGCGAGAGGCTGGTGAGTAAGAATCACATGGAGGGGAGAGAGGGGGGGAGAGGGGGATACACTCGGAGAGGGGGAGATACACACAGAGAGGGGGGGGGAGGGGGGGATACACACAGAGAGGGGGGAGAGGGGGTAATACACACAGAGAGGGGGGGAGAGGGGGTAATACACACAGAGAGGGGGGGAGAGGGGGTAATACACACAGAGAGGGGGGAGAGGGGGTAATACACACAGAGAGGGGGGGAGAGGGGGTAATACACACAGAGAGGGGGGGAGAGAGGGGGGGATACACACAGAGAGGGGGGGAGAGAGGGGGGATACACACAGAGAGGGGGGGAGAGGGGGTAATACACACAGAGAGGGGGGGATACACACAGAGAGGGGGGGAGAGGGGGATACACACAGAGAGGGGAGATACACACAGAGAGGGGGGAGAGAGAGGGGGATACACACAGAGAGGGGGGGAGAGGGGGGATACACACAGAGAGGGGGGGAGAGGGGGGATACACACAGAGAGGGGGGGAGAGGGGGATACACACAGAGAGGGGGGAGAGAGGGGGGATACACACAGAGAGGGGGGGAGAGGGGGGATACACACAGAGAGGGGGGAGAGAGGGGGGATACACACAGAGAGGGGGGAGAGGGGGGATACACACAGAGGGGGGGAGATACACACAGAGAGGGGGGGAGAGAGGGGGATACACACAGAGAGGGGGGGGAGAGGGGGGGATACACACAGAGAGGGGGGGAGAGGGGGGGAGATACACACAGAGAGGGGGGAGAGGGGGGAGATACACACAGAGAGGGGGGAGAGAGGGGGGATACACACAGAGAGGGGGGGGAGAGGGGGGGATACACACAGAGAGGGGGGGGAGAGGGGGGGATACACACAGAGAGGGGGGAGAGGGGGATACACACAGAGAGGGGGGAGAGGGGGGATACACACAGAGAGGGGGGAGAGGGGGGATACACACAGAGAGGGGGGGAGAGGGGGGGATACACAGAGAGGGGGGGGGAAGAGAGGGGGGGGGGGATACACACAGAGAGGGGGGGAGAGGGGGATACACACAGAGAGGGGGGGAGAGGGGGGGATACACACAGAGAGGGGGGGAGAGGGGGATACACACAGAGAGGGGGGAGAGGGGGGATACACACAGAGAGGGGGGGAGAGGGGGATACACACAGAGAGGGGGGAGAGAGGGGGGATACACACAGAGAGGGGGGAGAGGGGGGATACACACAGAGAGGGGGAGAGGGGGGATACACACAGAGAGGGGGGGGGATACACACAGAGAGGGGAGAGGGGGGGATACACACAGAGAGGGGGGGAGAGGGGGATACACACAGAGAGGGGGAGAGGGGGATACACAGAGAGGGGGGAGAGAAGGGGGGATACACACAGAGAGAGGGGGGAGAGAGGGGGATACACACAGAGAGGGGGGGAGAGAGGGGGGATACACACAGAGAGGGGGGGAGAGGGGGGATACACACAGAGAGGGGGGGGGAGAGGGGGGGGATACACACAGAGAGGGGGGGGGGAGAGGGGGGGATACACACAGAGAGGGGGGGGGAGAGGGGGGGATACACACAGAGAGGGGGGGAGAGGGGGGATACACACAGAGAGGGGGGGAGAGAGGGGGGATACACACAGAGAGGGGGAGAGGGGGGGATACACACAGAGAGGGGGGGAGAGGGGGGATACACACAGAGAGGGGGGGGGAGGGGGATACACACAGAGAGGGGGGGAGAGGGGCGGATACACAGAGAGGGGGGGGAGAGAGGGGGGGATACACACAGAGAGGGGGGAGAGGGGGATACACACAGAGAGGGGGAGAGGGGGGGATACACACAGAGAGGGGGGGAGAGAGGGGGATACACACAGAGAGGGGGGAGAGAGGGGGATACACACAGAGAGGGGGGAGAGGGGGGGATACACACAGAGAGGGGGGGGGAGAGGGGGGATACACACAGAGAGGGGGGGGGAGAGGGGATACACACAGAGAGGGGGGGAGAGGGGCGGATACACAGAGAGGGGGGAGAGAGGGGGGATACACACAGAGAGGGGGAGAGGGGGGGGGATACATAGAGAGGGGGGAGAGAGGGGGGATACACACAGAGAGGGGGGGATACACACAGAGAGAGGGGGGAGATACACACAGAGAGGAGAGGAGAGAGGGGGGATACACACAGAGAGGGGGGGATACACACAGAGAGGGGGGGAGAGAGGGGGGATACACACAGAGAGGGGGGAGAGAGGGGGGGATACACACAGAGGGGGGGGAGATACACACAGAGAGGGGAGGAGAGAGGGGGGATACACACAGAGAGGGGGGGAGAGAGGGGGGGATACACACAGAGAGGGGGGGATACACACAGAGAGGGGGGGGGATACACACAGAGAGAGGGGGGAGATACACACAGAGAGGGGGAGAGAGGGGGTATACACACAGAGAAGGGGGGGAGAGGGGGGGATACACACAGAGAGGGGGGAGAGAGGGGGTAATACACACAGAGAAGGGGGGAGAGAGGAGGGGGATACACACAGAGAGGGGGGGAGAGAGGAGGGGGATACACACAGAGAGGGGGGGATACACACAGAGAGGAGGGAGAGAGGGGGGGATACACACAGAGAGGAGGGAGAGAGGGGGGGATACACACAGAGAAGGGGGGGAGGGGGGGGATACACACAGAGAGGGGGGGGATACACACAGAGAGGGGGGGATACACACAGAGAGGGGGGAGAGAGGGGAAATACACACAGAGAGGGGGCGAATACACACATAGGGGGCAGATGTTGGAAATACATACAGAGAGGGGGGGAGAGGGGTGGAATACACACAGAGAAGGGGGGGAGAAGGGGGAAAGAGAGAGGGGGGGAAATAGAGAGAGAGAGGGAAGGGGGAAATAGAGAGAGAGTGGGGAGAAGGGGGAAATAGAGAGAGTGGGGGAAGGGGGAAATAGAGAGAGAGAGGGGGGGGGAAATAGAGAGAGAGTGGGGAGAAGGGGGAAATAGAGAGAGTGGGGAGAAGGGGAAATAGAGAGAGAGTGGGGAGAAGGGGAAATAGAGAGAGAGGGTGGAAAGGGGAAAGAGAGAGGGGGGGGAGAAGGGGGAAGAAAGAGGGGAGAAATAAAGAGGGAAGTAAAAGGAATGGAGAGAGAGAGAGAGAGAGAGGAAGGGGGGAAATAGAGAAGGGGGGGAAGGGAGATGAGAGGGAAAGATTAAGGGAATTATAGAGGAGAGAAAGGGGGGTTACAGAGGAGAGAGGGTAAGGGATGGAGGAAAGAGAAAGAGGAGGACAAGGAGGTAGAGAGAAAGGTGGGGGGAAAGGGAAAGAGGTGTGTGTGGGGGGGTAAAGATGGATAGATATATTAAAGAGAGAGAAAGAAGGTGAAAGCAAAGAACGAGTGGGAAAGGATAGAGGCGAGGGGAAAGGAGACGAAAAGAGAAGGGAGAGATAGAAAGAGGGAGGAGAGGGAGGAAAAGAGAAGGGAGAGATGGAAAGAGGAAGGAGAGGGAGGAAAAGAGAAGGGAGAGATGGAAAGAGGAAGGAGAGGGAGGAAAAGAGAAGGGAGAGATAGAAAGAGGGAGGAGAGGGAGGAAAAGAGAAGGGAGAGATGGAAAGAGGAAGGAGAGGGAGGAAAAGAGAAGGGAGAGATGGAAAGAGGAAGGAGAGGGAGGAAAAGAGAAGGGAGAGATAGAAAGAGGGAGGAAAGTCCTGCTGGTGGTTGAGTTAAATGGAATGTGCTGAGAGCAGAATAATCAAGTTTCATTTTGGTGGAGAAAACGTACTTTAAAGCTTTATATTAAAACAAATAAAAGCCCCAAAGAACCAAAAAAAACACGTTCAACGGAGTTGGACAAAGTGTTGGGGTTTTTTGGGGTCATGAATCTCACTCCCTTTTAACAAGGGCGTGCCCTTGATATCTCTGCCCTGTTCTGTTTTGTGTGTGGGGGTCATGTTATCTTTTAGGGGCTTTGCTTGTGTCACACACAACACAACGTGTCCCCAGGGACTTGCTGATGTTGTACATTTTATCGTTGCTGTGGGAGGGGAAGAGGGGGAGGAAAGAGGAGATGAAAACATGTGGGTTTCTCTGCCTTCCCACAGCAATGCATCAGATCAATAACAGTTACTTGGGCATTGTAGGCACATCTTGTCACTCCGTTTGCACCATCCAACCTCCCACTGCAATCTGCTGTAAAGATGTGTAATTCTTTGTACACCCTTCCACCTCCCACTCAGAATTTTTCTTTAATCTAAATGTCCTTTCTGTGTAGAACCCCGAAACGCAAGCCTCTGGTAATTTGGGGATTATTGACTAAAGTGGTTCACAATTATGCAAGTAAACAAATTAGCTGCTCACCCACTTAATTGCCACACGCAGTCATTTTAAGATTTCATTTTGAAAAATGTTTGTCACCTAACCAGCAGAATAGTATAGTGTTTTAAACTAGTGGCAGATGTTGGAATAGAAACTAACCTGCAATTGACATGCCACGTTTCGCCCACAAAATATACAGTTAATTCGCTTTACAGTATATTCTGTGAAGTGCTTTGAGTCTCATCCAGGGACCCTTTGCATTGACTCCTCCCTCCTTTCAGCCGCCTATTATTTTATTTTCAATCCATCCTTATTTCAGGATGTGATATGAACAAAAATGAACAAAAATAACTAAAGAGGTTTAGTTTAATTTCATGCATTTAACTTGAGCACAAAGCCCAGAACTGCTCAAAGAGCCGCAGAACCAGTTTGACTTCATTATAGCTTATGTCAATCATGGAGGGTTTGGCTCTCCCAGTACTTAGTAGCAAGTGGAAGGATTGGAAGAAAAGTTACTCCCTAGAGACATCTCAAGAGCTATCATTCTCTTTTTACTGGGGACACCTTAGATTTATGGTTACCATTCCTGTTCTTAGTTTATAATAATATAATTATTCTAATAATAATAATCCTTACATTTGCTATAGCGCCTTATCACGTCTTCAAGACTTCTCAAAGTGAATTGACTGTATATTTTGTGGGTGAAACGCGGCGTAGTTTGATTCTATTGATTCAAACTCGGTGCTTAGATCTATCTTACTGATAACATTCCTACACGAAGTTTAAGGTTCATTCATTGAAAATTATTATTTAAAATAAAGTTGAATCTCAGTACAAGAGAATCAAGCTGGATAACTCGGTTTATCTTTCCTTAAGCCTTATCTGATCACCTCCAAGACACGATATGAAACAATGGAGTTCTCTTTTTGATTTTAAACTTAATTAGTGAATGGGAATCCCATCTGGAATATTCCATTGATTCAACTGGGTAACGTATGTTATTTCAGTGTATTAATTCAGTTACTTAGTGAACCTGTTACTAATGAAAGGCTTTGAGACGTTTCAACATTTATAGGCACCTTGTTTAAAATGCAAGGACTAATAATGTAAGGATCATTAAAGACATTTTGTTTTCCTGATAAATACCTGGATTTGTTTTGGTGAAGGTCAATTGGGTAAAAAAAAAACTATTTTTTCTCCTGAATTTGATCTTAAAACAACTTTTTCAGACGATTATCTTTTTCATACATTCGGGAATGCTCAGAAGGAGGTCATTCAGCCCATCTTGTCTGCACTGACTGTCAGAGCAAGGTGTTCATTCAATCCCTCTCCCCTGTGTTATCTCTCTACGCCTTCAAGCTTCTTATCTTTCATATTAATGTCCTTCATATACATAGTTGTGAATTCAGATGTATCCGTGCACTTGGCTGAACTGTTTAAAATCTGGGATAGTACTTTCTAGCTGTGTGTTTTGTCGTCGTCTGCCGATACTGTAATTAAACAAAATTAAGATGTGTATTTGTTGTGTCTCCGCAGACTCGCCACCATGCCTAAATATGAGGGGTTTGATTTCTGGAAAATTACACTGAAAGGCGCTCGTTACATAGTTGCTCCGATGGTGGATCAGAGTGAGCTCGCGTGGCGGTTACTCAGCCGGCGTCATGGCGCCCAACTTTGCTACACGCCCATGCTTCATGCCCAGGTCTTTGTTCGGGATGCAAACTACAGAAAGGAGAACCTGTATCATGAAGTGAATGCAGAGGATCGACCGCTTGTCGTTCAGGTGTGGAACCCAGCGCAGCAGCAATAATAATAATAATCCTTGCGTTTGCTACAGCGCCTCATCACATCTTCGAGACGTCTCAAAGCGCCTCACAGAGTATACTCTCCAGTGAATTGACTACATTTTGGGGGCGAAACCCATCAGCCAATTGCACACAACCTGTCTATCTGTATTGCCTGTCTGCAGAAATTTACTGCTCCAGTCATCTGTGGCTGAATGCTGAACTTTGTAAATAGGTATATGTCCTGAGCGGTTTGATTTTCCCCAAACCAAATGGTTGTCTCCGATTTCCTTGGCCTCATCGCTATAATATTATTGAGTAAGAGTCTCTGCTCAGTGTAGTGATTGCACTGTGACACAAGTAGTTTGTCAAAGCAGTTTGATTTCATTGTGTGAACCATAAATTAATTGTTTGAATGAAGGTAAGTTTTTCCTCTCCACCACCCCATCCACTTGTCTGATTTTCGATACAGCCATAAACCATCCCATCCAAGAAGATAAGTGTCTTTGCCTTATCTTAGGCCTCCATAAAGTGCACTGTTTGTATGTAAAGGTGTTTTTAGCAAGATGTGGTTGCTCTGCTTTTTCCACTCAGCACCTCCTCAAAGTGACATGGCTCAAATCGAGAATATGTCTAATTCTGTGCAGAAGCTATAATTGCTTTCAGCCTCACAGAAATACCCGTAACACACTGCCATAAAGTCCTGTTCCTTCATGGAGCCGATCATGAAATGGACGCTAGGAATCAAGTCGCAAGATTGCTTGATATTTACTATTTACTATGTTTTGGTTGGAATGCATTTTTATGACTAGCCTTAATTTTGCTGCAATGCTGACTTTTATTTTTCTTCCAGTTCTGTGCAAATAACCCAGAGGTATTTGTCCAGGCCTCTCTCCTGGCTCAGGATTACTGTGATGCCATTGATCTGAACTTGGGCTGCCCGCAGATGATTGCAAAACGAGGTGCCAGCATTTTCTACATCCCGTTTTCTTGACCTACTAAAGTACTTGGACTGATGCAGTCACACACACACACACAATGCATGCATGCATACATACAACACACATACACACACACACACACATACATACATACATACATGATGGAAAATAATCCAGAGGGTGGCTAGAGGAGCTGCTTTATTGGCTAAAAAGAAAACCAAAGTGACTTGAGAAGTTACAACGTAACCTCTTGCAAAAGGTGTAGAGAGTGGGTTGGGACGAGAGAAACGTGGGTGTAACAAAAGAAAGCGCGAAATGCCAGTTCACAGGAAATCAGTTTGCGAGATTCCATTTTTTTTTATTTAGACACCAGTTGACCTATTTGAATCAGGACTGCAGGAGATGAAACTTAAATATAGATTGGGATAGAATGCTATCAGGAAGACATCAGCTTAGCATTATGTTCCGAGTCTATTTAGGAGGGAACCAGGGCGTTCCTTTCAAATAAAGTCAATGGTGCATAAATAAGGAGAGGAGAAGAGTCACCACTCCAGGCCAGTAGCAGAATGATTGTGTAATCGCATTAATTCACAACAACTGTTGCAATAACGCTACGCCTTTTTATAAATAACGAGTCAACCACAGAGAGAAGATAAATTTCATAATGTCACCCTTGGCAGAAGTGACTCTGTGATTCTGAATGCAAAATATGAAATGCATTCTTTATTTTCAACTGACATTTTGTATATATTTTGTAAAAAAAAATCAGTCTCCCTGCCAACTTTTTCTCCTCTCTCGCTGCTGGATACCTGTTGCTCTACAGTTATCCTGGGAATGGTGCACAAAGACGGTGCATCTACCACAACAACAATAACTTACATTTATATAGCTCCCCTCACGCAGAGCGCTTGACAGTGGCGGAGCACAATGCTGAGCCGGGGGNAGGTGACAGTAGGCACGGTCGAATCGGAAGGTCTTCAGGCGAGACCTGAAGATGGGGAAGGAAGGGGCAAGGTGGAAGGATAGGGGAAGAACATTGTTAAGGTTCTAACGGAAGACATAGCACATACGGAAGGAAGTTAGTGAGCGTAGAGCTGGAGATCGAGTGAGAATTTTGTGAGTGTTAGCAGTTGATCCCAAACATTATATGATGCTCCAGGCAACGGCAAACAACTAGTACAAGGATGTTCAGACCTTTTACAGTTTGAGTCTTGAGTCTTAAGTGAATAATAATAATAATCCTTGCATTTTATCATGTCTTTGAGACATCTCGAAGAGCTTCACAGAATATATTGTAAAGTGAATTGACTATACATTTGTGGGCGAAACGTGGCAGTCAATTGCGCACAGCAGTATCCCGCAAACAGCCGTGGACTGAGTGACCAAATTATTTTTTAAGGAATTATTACCCCCGGAAAAGCGATCCGCCAATCGACAAACAACCGGGTTCCTACTTACTGCTAGGTAAACAGAGGCACGTGGAGTAAGGAAACTTCCCTAACATTTTGCCTTATCAGGAATCGAACCCAGGTCCTCTCGCTTGCCAGACAAGTGCTCTAACCACTGAGGTACAGGACTCCACAGAGGATGTTCGGACCTCTTCCAGTGTGAGCCTTAAGAGAATCCGTCACCCGGGCACATTTACAGTATAACCGTTGACATTTCCCGTAATGTTCATGATTTGATAAAGCATATTTACCCAACGTTAAACGCTAAAGTCAAAAACATTTAAAATCACTGCTCACCAGGTTTCCTGGGATTACGTCTCCACCCAATGTTCAACAGCAGTATTGTAGAACGCACAGTTTCTAATCTTATCAGACCAGGAAGTGAAGTCGAAGGTTCCAGACACTTAAAATAAATCATACTCAGCTGGACACAGCAAGGTTGTACACGTGTAGACAAAACGTGGAATCTGAGTTAGAAGAGCAAAGAATTATGCCTCGTTCTTTGAACTAACGCTTCATTTTTAATATGAAGATATTGCCTGCCTTTTGATGCGAAGTCTGTGCTGGTAATCTTACCGCGACCTCTTTATGTGTTTGCTCCTCGCACAGGGCACTATGGAGCGTTTCTGCAGGAAGAATGGGACCTCCTGCTCAAAATGAGTGAGTTGTTGGAGCAGATATTTTCATGATGCCTTAGCCGTTCTCGGGCCAGAATTAAGGTCTTGCTGAGATTGTTTCATTGCTTATGTCATGCAAGCCAAGAAATCCTGCTAACGGATACTTCATAGTGACTTGTAGATCATCACAAGTGCGAGGTTGAAGCGATGGGAGCAATCCCTGATGCAAGTGATTGAGTCACTAATTGATGTGAAAGTTAAACCTCTCGTGACCTTTCACAATGTTTCTCCTGCGCAGAGGTGTTTCATCATAGATTGGTCTTAACAAGGATCTCAAGGGAGCGCTGAAGATTGTGGACATTAAGAGGAAAAATGATGTTTGAATGTTTGACTCACTCACCTTTCTTTTTTTCTGGGGGTTGACTGTAGTCTCTGAGGCACACGAAAAGATTTCTGTTCCCATAACATGCAAAATCCGGGTTTTTCCCGAAATCAACAAAACTGTGAAATATGCAAAGATGCTGGAGAAAGCGGGCTGTCAGGTAAAGAGACTTTGCATTCTATTCTGCCTGTGCGTTCTGTCTGATCACTTATTTTTATCCCAAGTGTCGTGAAGGTTTAATTGTGTGTAAATATTGAGTTTTCGGTTTGTTGCGCAACCTGTATTCAACACCAACATTGATGAACATCTGGGAGATGTTTGATTTCTAATGTTAATTGGACTGACAGAGAATCAGAGAACTGTATTTCCAGAGTGAGGCACTCCCCAACACTCCAGAGAGCAGACACTCTTTCATGCTTACTGACAGAGCTGCCTCAGGGTGGTGTGTTGAGGGACAGAGGGATTCAAGTTTGAATAAAACTGAAATATTTTAGTTTTCATTTTTTTTGTTTTTTTTGCAGGTTTATTTCCCTTTATTTTGCTCCCAACTCTTTCTCTTTCTGCCTCCGCTCTCGTCTCCAGAAGCATTTCTGCCTGTCGGACTTCTGAATGAGCTTTAGTCTAATGCTTCTCAGTTCGACCCTCCACAATCGCCCATTTTATCTAGAATTCCGCAGCCCGTGTGCTCTCCTCCTCCAGGCTGCATGAGTCCACCCTCGCCGCGCTCCATTGACTTCCAATTTCCCAGCAGGTTCAATGTCCTTGTCCAAACTTTCAAATGCCTCCACTCCGCTACCCCATCTTACCTCTCTGATCTGCAGTTTCATGCTCACTCCCTACTAGTTGCCTGGCTTTGAGATACTTTGCTTCTGTTCTCTGGAACTCTTTTCTCATATCCCTTCTCCTTGCCTCTCTCTCGCTTTGCTCTCTGCTCTAAAAGCTTACGTCTATCGACTGCGTCTTTGTGCCCCTCCCTTTTACCTCGCCCACATCTTTCATCCTGTTCGGTTTCCCAATCCATCTCCGCCTTCACAGAAAGGCAGCAAATTTGAACATTTGCTTAGAAGTTAGTTGAAACCCTTAGAAGTTGATATATTCCTTTGATGCATTAAGTGGGTAACATTTTAAAATGTATGACGAAGAGAAAACATTTGATGTGTTTCAGCTGCTAACTGTTCACGGCCGCACTAAGGAACAAAAGGGGCCGCTGACAGGGGTAGCAAACTGGGAGCACATTAAAGCAGTGAGGTAAGCAAGCAATGCTCCTGGACACAAAAGCAAAGTAAGCAGCTGATGCAATGATGGTTTAAAAGTTTAATGAGTGACTCCCATAGTCCTTTCTCTCGAGGGAAGCATGTGGGTCGGAGTGGATAGATTCCTGTCTTATCTGGTGATCCTCAGATGTCTGGGTCTATAAGATTATAAAGCCTATGTTCCTCGAAAGTTATTATTACCTGGACAAACCGTATTTGCCTTAGGCTGTGTTTGCTTCTCTCAAGGAAATGCAAATAAGAGGAGCAATAATTTCAATCGATGCAAATTTATTGTTGTTGGACTTGAGCTGTATTTCTGTTAAACTATAAAAAGGCGTAGCATTATTGCAACAGTCGTTGTGACTGAATGACAACTGTTTGTGTCAGAAGCCATCATTTAATACTTTAATGTTCCATTGGACGTCACGTGGACCAGAGGCTTCAGAGACAAAGCTGTCAGTTCAAGATCTAGTCATCTTTCTTATCCTTGCACACTTCCCTTTTCTCCATATCATTCACTCTATATTGCTCTTCCAGCTAATAAATTACCACTGACAAAATGTAGTGGGGGGGGGGGGGAGGAGAGCACAAATTACAATAATTTTTTTTTAAGTTGTACTTTGTTTTAATAAGTTTCCCTGAAAAATGAACTCGGTTATTCAATGCAGGAAATCCGTGAACATTCCCGTGTTTGCGAATGGTAACATTCAGTACCTGAGCGATGTGGAGCGATGCTTTCAGGAAACCGATGTGCAGGGGGTCATGAGTGCTGGTAGGTATTGAGAGCAGAGTGTTTGTTTGCAGCTCATAGTTACTTTTGCACTATTTCATTGAAACATTGATACATAGGTGCTCTTTTCTAAAATTAAATCTAAAGAGCAGTGGGTATTCCGCTAACTGGAGGCCAGAGTCTGTGAGCGCTGGGTCTAGAGGTTCAGTGTCACTGGCTTCACAATTATTTTCATTGAGAATGGGAGAGGAGTGGAATCATATTTAATATGATGAATATCCAATGTACCACTCGATTGATCCGAATACGTTGAAGCACTAAATACGTTGTACCACAGTACCAACACATGGGGGCAGTCTTTAATCATTAGACTGACCCAAATATTTTAATAGCCTCGGAAAGGCATTATAACATGTTATCAGTTCTCTTCCTTTACAATTTTTTTAAAATAAGAAGTCTTTTACAAAGGGCAGTATATATATATATATTAAAAAAGCTATTTGGGGCAGGAATATAAAATCGATTATGGCTGAGTACGTTATAGCTGTGCGCAAACCCATAACAAGAAATGGGAGGAAAAGTTAACCTGATTACAGAGTTGTTGCTGCTGCAATTTGTCTCCATTTCTGTTGTTCAGTCTTAGTTCTAAAGCCCTATATAGCATCATGTATTAATTCTGAACCTGCTTTGGTACCAATACAAGGAGTTATTTTCTTTAGTTTGATTTATTACATTCTCTTTATTAACTATATAAAATATAATTTCATTTGAATTACTCTGCAATAAGTATTTAACATACACAGTCAATCCACTTTACATTATATCCTGTGAAGCGCTTTGAGGTGTCTCAACGACATATGGCACTATTAGCAAATGCAAGGATTACTGTTATAATTATATTAAAGGAAAGCTGACTATCATATTTTTAAGGCCTCAGAACAATTTTCTCTCTTTTATTGCCAGAGGGTAATCTTCACAACCCTGCTCTCTTTGAGGGTAAAAAGCCACCTGTGTGGGAGATAACGGAAGAGTATTTGGAAATTGTTAAACAACACCGATGTCCACTTTCATTTGTCAGAGCCCATCTCTTCAAACTCTGGCACCATACGTGAGTCAATGAGCTTGTTTTCTTCTGTAGTGGTTTATTTGACGCTGTCTTTGTGATGAATTGTTTTGAAGTAGAAAACAGCCAAAGCATTATTGTAGTAATTGCCTTGCTCTCTCCTACATCTCTGACCTGCTGACCCCCTCTCAACCTGTCCGCTCCCTCTGCTCAGCAGGCTCTGGCCTGCTCCAGGTTTCCAGTCCGACCTGCCCTACCATTTGTGGCCGGGCTTTCAGCTTCTCTGCCCCCATTCTTTGGAACTCCATCCTATAATCCCTTTGCCTCCTTTTTGACCGTGCCTTCAGCCGCCCTCCCTCTGCCCTCCCTCATCCCAACCCTGCTTCCCCACGCTCGGGTCCTGATCCCTGACTGTTCAGCGCCTTGGGACATCCTCCTGATGTGAAAGGCGCTTTACAAATGTAATTTTGTTGTTGTAGTAGTATGTGGGTAACTAGTCTCACAACCACTCCAGATGTCTAATTTCTCCTTCCCCTGCCCCACCATCACTCACTGCATTGCTCTGGTCCATGTCCTTTTGGACTTTTACAGGCTGCAGATTCATCATGAGCTGAGAGAGGAATTAGCAAAGGTGAAGAGTCTGGAGGCCATCGCAGAAGTCAACAAACGGCTAAAACGAAAGTGTCAGGTATGAAGTCGAATGATAACTTTGACTTGTGCTTTGTTTAGCGTAAATTTGTATTTTTTAGCTGATTGTTGAAGGTGCCATCCTTTGAGTAAGACCCAAGATTGCCCAAGGCCCTGGCTGCTGGTGTCAGGTGGATGATGAAGGTCCTGTGGAATTCTGGTGTCCAGGAGTTGTGACACCCTCCTCCAAAATCACTAAAAAAAAATAATAATTGGTCATTTATCTCATCACTGTCTATAGGATGATGCCAACAGCCCTGGCTTTAAGTCAGGTTAGTCTTGTCAGTTGAGCACTGGATTTAGGCTCTGGGTTTGTGTTTTGGTGGGTCCACTTAGCTTTATCTTCGCTCTTTCAAGGATGTTCAAATGAGTCTCGTCTCTTAATATCCTCCTTGTTGGGAAGGTAAGTGATATTGATTGGCAGATCGCTTTTCCCGGGGTAATCCATCATTTTTTGTAAAAATAATAATAATTTGATCACTAAAACCGTGACTGTGTGTGGGACGCTGCTAATCACAATTGGCTGCCGCATTTCACCCACAAAATATATAGTCAATTCATTTTACAGTATATTCAGTGAAGCGCTTTGAGAAGTCTTGAAGACGTGATAAGACGCTATATCAAATGCAAGGATTATTATTTTTATTATTATGTCTCCCTGGGACTGATCACTCGAGAGGCAAAGCCAGGTCTGTTCCAATCCAAAACAGTGGAGAGGCATTCAGTTCTGGAAGCCTTAATGGGAGCGTGTTCCGAGCTGGGCAAGTGCCATGCTTGACATTTACCATTTTATTCACACAAAATAAATCCAAACCACAAAAGTGAAAGTAGGTTTATGTATATATAAGGTGGTGTTTTCTGGTACTGACTGGCAAATGGGAAAATCTCCACATAAACCATTTCTACAGTTTACCAGCTCTGAGGGGGAACATAACCTTACAATTTTTTTGTTAAAAGGGGGCAGAATCCCTGCGAGTGATTTTTACCCACGAGGGATTTTCTTATATGAACTTCACCTGAAGAATGAGAAGACCCTAACAACAGCAAAGCTATCTAGGAGTAACTGACTTGCTTGATAGTTAGAGAGCTTATAGAATTTTTGATTGTAACTTTATTGTTTGGTACAGATGCATGTCCATCGTGCTTCTAATCATTGCTCCTCATTCCTACAGGAAGCAATATCTAATTGGAAGAAAGAAGAGGACAGAGAAAATAGTTTGCCTTTCCCTCACTGGATCTGTCAGCCGTATGTACGCCCAGGGTAAGGGAGCTGATTCATTGTGTGTTTAGAATATTATACTGGATCTCTAGGTCGAAGAGACCTTCTTGGTGAGCACTATACCAACACTTTGCTATTAGGGGCCCCAAGAATACCGGAAGCTTGATTTAAGACACTTAATGTTGATTATCATAGAATCATAATTGATATAGAGTTGAGGTTATTGGTAACAATCTGTGGAAAAGATAGTATCCTCACAGCATATTGTTGTCTAGCTAAGACTAACTTACCCATCAGGGCATTGACTCGCATAGTTAAGGATATTGTCTACATCTATAAATCTGCCTTGGATTATTGTGTAGCTATACCAGGGGTGCCTATTCCAAGCCAGTTCAGCCCCAGCAAAACCCTTATTTTCTCCCTTCAAGAAAATATTTATTTTAGACAAAGTACTAATTTTGTCAACCTCAAAAGGGGTGAATTGCTGAGCAATCTTGTTAGGATGCCAGTGTTCACTCACTCATCTGCCCTAAGGAAGAAGCTAACCGTGGACGATAGAATGAGGCAGAGGCATGTGGAGTGTGGGAGGGAGAAAATCTGGTGAAAACCTTCTAAATTGTAATTAATTCAATTGTAGAAGGGTAGATTTGTATGGGACAATCTGTATGTGTTGGGGAGGGTCTGCTTCAGGTGAGAATTGTCTGGAAGGGAATTAGTGCAGTTTTATTTTTTGCTAAACAACAACTAGCCCTTATGTAGCACCCTCCAGGTAATGTCTCCATGCGCTTAATCTAAAATCCATAGGAGGTGCAGAAAACAGACTGGATAAATTAAGGTTGGCTTATGCGAGACGATGTGATTGTGTATCTAACAGGTTTTCTATTTGTACAGTGATTAAAGGATCCTTCAGCAGAGTCAGCATCAGCATTTGGTCATAATTAGTTTTGGTCTTGTTAATTGATGTGGAAGCAAACAGAGCAGGAAGGGTTTTATTGCGGTACATCTAAAAACGCTGATCAGAACAATGCAGTAAACACTGTCTGACTGCGTGATTAACACATTTCCGATTCTCATCCAGCTCAGTGATAGCCAGCATAACACGATAAATAACTGAAATCTGTCTTACAGTCTCTCTCTTATGGGGAAGGAAATAGCTGTTCTCTTTTCCACTACAACTTAAAAAGCGACACAAATTCAATAAGGAAACATAGAAACAGGATTAGGCTATTCAGCCCCTTGAGCCCGAACCGCCATTTTATGAAATCATGGCTGATCTGTACCTCAAGTTAAATTACCCACCCTTGCCCAATATCCCTTAAAACCCTGACCTAACAAATATCTATCTACCTCCGTCTTGAAAATAACCAGTTTCACCAGTTCTGGATCATCATCATCAATCTTTACATTTTGTGCTTATAATCTTAGATGAGGTGCACACAGTTCAACTTTGCATTTGAACTCTCATTACCAATAGCATCTGGGAAGCAAAACTATAAATGCTGTCTGGCCAGAAGCAGCTGTCCTTGTTTTCCTGGCTGTGGAATGTTTGGCCCTTCCTATTAGTGTTTTCTGTTTGGGGTTCACAAGCAGCAGGTGATGCTGGCAAAGAACATTGGTTTTCTCTTTCTATCCCAGGAGATTTCCAAGAGATAGGAGTTTGAATGCCTCCGAGACAATAGAGAGAAATGTGGGGGAAAAAAACTTTTTGGTGGATGTGTTACAGAACTCCATTTGCCTTCACCCAGCAATATTGGTTGCCTTCCTTGTGCTAACTCATTTTTGATGATCAGTAATCCAGTTTGTTAAATATAGCCTGGAGAGTGAGTGCAAAGCTTGTATTTTTTTTTGAATGGCAGGTGCTTCCATTTCTTGTGACCACTGCATTTGGTATGAACAACAACTTGGACTTTCAAAGCACCCTTCACGTCAGATTGAGTGCTTCACAGTGACAGGGCTGGATTCCAAGTGAAGGAAAAGCCTTCATTTGCTGTGAAGGCTGCATTTTGTCCAGTAAAATATATGGTGTACTTTACAGTTTTCAATTTTAATCTATTAACCAGACCATAACACTCATAGAGCTCATATCCATTTGTTCATCACTTGGTGGAAAAGGACACTAAACTTCAGATTGTATCTTAAAATGCTTAAGGCAGCACACTAGTGCCTAGAATGTCAGCCTTTAATTATTTAAAGTCATTCTATCTCTGTCTCTTTGTTTGCTTGAACAAACTATTAATCGTGGCTCTCACAGTCACTATTGAGACCTCTAAATTGCTGATGGGAAGAGTCCACTTTGTCAGTGGGATAAGGTACCTTATTTGAAAAAAAAGGTTTTACACAGAGTGTATTTGTGTTAGTCAATATCTTGAACGCACTTCTGCAGGTTTAGGAGTGTGATTAAAGAATGCTGCTGAGTTGGAAACTTTGTTAGTGTTCCAGATCATAAAATATTGATCCTAAAATGCATAGCATCAGACTTTCATTTATGTATACTCGAATCACATTCAGCAGAATAAGGTCACTCTTTCCTAACGGACATTGTTATTTGGGATAAAAAAANTCTAAGCTAAGAAATCACTTGCCCTCATTTTTTAACAAATGCCTGTTTTAAAGGGGAGAAACTATTAATTTAAGAAATTAAAATGTACTAGTATCTTTCTTAATTGCTCAAGTCAATATGTGTCTGGTGAATGGAATATTACCTTGGCCTTTATATTGATCCTGTTCCTGGCTATTCTTTTTGTATTTCCTATTTTGGTTTGTCATTCCAATAACTATTCAAGCCTCTACTTTTGATGGACTATGAAGGTTGCAATTAGTTCACCAAGGCCTAAGACATTTTTCATTTGATTGTTTTGCAAAACTGAGAGAAAGGGATTACATACACCTTTCTCTCCATTAACCTATTCTTTATAAATGAGAAAGGCCACTCTGATTGTAAACACAGGAAAAGTGGTGCTGATCATGGCATTGTTTATCACTTATCCAACATGAAAAGCAAAGTAAATTACTTTGAAACATCTGTTTGTTCGAACAAATCTATAGCTTTCACAGCTACAGCTTTTGATCTCAATGAATATAAAACAGGAAGAGCAATAATCAGTAAATCTATGTATTGATTTCACATACAAGGACCTTAAGTAGAGTGAATAGTCCAACTATATTCAAATTCTTGGTTTTAAAATAACTTAAATTGCAATAGTACCAGGCTTTATTAATGAATCTAGTAAGGAAAGCATTGTTTAGTAGATTTGAGATCATAACTGTGTCAAGACAATAACAAATTACATTTAAACAGCTCTTTTCACATCGGGAGGATGTCCCAAGGTGCTGGACAGTCAGGGAATTGGACCCGAGCTGGGGGTTGGAATCGGGGTGGGTGGAGGACAGGGAGGGTAGGCGCAGTTGAAGAGGAGGGTCTTGAGATGGGCCTTGAAGGAGGCTAAGGGAGGAAGCGAGGCAAAGGGACTCTAGACTGGAGTTCCGAAGGGTGGGGACAGAGAGGCTGAAGAAGTATTATGCTAACCTGGATTTAAATAATGATATCCTTGCTGTCCCACATGATAGACCCAAGGAAGTTACTTCAGAGAATGGAGACCAGCAAACAGACCGGAAAACATGTGGGAAAAGGGCTCTGGAAGAGGAGGAGGGAAATTCTGAATTCCTTTCGAAGAATAAACAAAAAAAGAAAGCCCGAAATCCAAAGAAAAACTTTGATACCTCAGTAAAACGTAAGTTTTTTTTGGTAGCTTGGAATTGCTGTAACCTGGAAAAGGAGGACAACTGACTGGAAAGGGGAAAGCAGCTGATGATTAGGTTCACAGTGGGTGATCACACTGTCCTTTAGTCTATGAAACCTGGATTCAGATCAAACCCAGAACGAGGTGATGTCAATCTTCTCTGGCCGTGCTGTTAAATATAGACTGGAGTTAGCTTAGGCTGCAGTTAAGAGTGCTGCGTGCACTTCTGGGCACTCCATTACCGAAAGTTACTTTCAAATGATGTGAATTTGTACACTTTAACATGCTCTGCCTGAACAACACTCTTTTCTCATTAATTCAATACGTCTTTTCTTTTCAGCTAAATATGTAAAATGTGAACAGTGCGGAAACCCAAAGGTAAGATTTAATCTATATTGCAAGAATGTACAGTCAGGGATTTAGAGCATGGGACATTTGCTGGCTAGGTTTTAAATATTGTTGTACTCATCTCCGCATTCAGCTGTTGTCAGCTATCCTGTCTAGTCTGTTGCTTTTATGATCCTGTTCATCTTAGTGCAACACTTAAATCTATATCTGCGTGTGATTCATTTGCCAAAACCAGAATACTGCATCAAATCATCCTAAAAAATAAACGCTCCTCCAAATGCCGAGAATTACAGCCCTTGTAGTCTCCAAAGCTTTAAATTTTTATTTAAATAAAAGCACACTAATAATTATAATCCTTTCATTTGATATAGCGCCTTATCACGTCTTCGAGATGTCTCAAAGCGCTTCCAGAATATACTGTAAAGTGAAATAACTACTACTCAGGAGTTGCATATTGCGGTTGTATTCTCGTGATGTCCATAGCTCCTATCATAGATAAATAAATAAGTTGCATTCTGCAACTAATCTGAACTCAGTTTGGAAAACGATTTTTCTTTTTGAATTCTGAATAGCAGAGATATTTCTCTTCTTAAAATTACAAAATTGGGATCAGATCAGAAAATGAACCAGGTGGAATTGAGGAATATATTACTGACTGAATTTTTTGATTTGCAAATTGCATTCAGGTCAAGGGGAATCATTTCTGCAGCAAAGCCATTTTTCTAAAATGAAGCAATAACCTTTCGCTGGAAGGTCCCATTGTATTCCTGACACTAATGAGGCTGTGTAAAACCCAGCACTCCCTCAGAACAATGGAAAGGAGTAAACAAGTTAATAGAGAAAGCTGTCATGGATGGCCTCATACAATTTATGCAAAAACTGAATGCTAAATCTTCTGTCAATGCCTCCCTTCATACCCATTGTCATCTTAATAAGTAAACGTTTAAATCTTGTGGTAGATCATGCTACTCACGTATACACGTAGGTCTCTTTCTATCTCTCTTCTAAAAGTTCCTTTCTAGTTTGCCTTTGCTTCACCTAATCCAAGCTTGTTGCAGTTTTCTCTTCCAGTCCCTCGACAAAGCCATCTCTCGATCATTCTATGAATTCTCCTTCCCACTACTTTTCCTTCCTAATGACTCAGTTGCTCAGTACTCCCTGGAAGTGGACTTTTTTTGGATCCATTTTCTCCTCCAGTTCTAATCTTGGCAAAAAATCAATGTCTGTTCTCCATCACACATTTATTTCCTTCTCCACATCAGCGACTTCTTTCCACCAACTTTATCCACTATTTGGTGACGATCACATTGTCCAGTCATTGCCTTCTTTCAGACCGCAACCACTCTGCACATGACCTTCAATCCTCTTACAATGCAATCACTGAATCATTCAAAACATATGCCTTTCAAAGAGAATCTGTCAAAATATTTCACCCACAAAATATACAGTAAATTCTGTGAAGCGCTTTGAGACATCTTGAAGACGTGATAAGACCCTATATCGAATGCAAGGGTTATTATGTAATTAAAAGGGCAAATGTAAAGTTTCTTTATCTTACCATTCAGTGAGTCAATCCTGTATGTCCTGAGTCCCATTAGTTTATTAACCACTCGATGCCCAAAATACTGTGCCAAATGGCCACACCACACACGAGCCTTGAAACTGATTGTCGATGTCCACTCAAGTCTACGTTGACAGCAAGAATCACAATAACTGTCAAGCGCTGGAACTCAGGGGATGCTGAGGCCAATTGGAGAATCTCTGCTGTCACCCCGTTGGAGATCAGCTCATTTGTGCGGATCAGGGAGCACCATTAGACTTTCTGGGTCTTTGTGGCTGTTTCACACCAGACAGTAGTTTAACTGAACAGAGGTCATCGAGGGGCAGTCTTAATTAGATATTTAATTTCATAGGGCGTTTTGAAAATGTTAAGTCACAGCATTAAAGTTATAAATCTTTGTATTTTAATTATATTCTTTACCTTTAATCCTATTTCAATAGGGAACAAAGTGCATCTTCAATCTTTGTAGGGGATGCTGTAAGAAAAAAGCTTTCAAAGAGTTGGCCGACTGTGCAGGTGAGTAGGCTTCCAAAGCTACCTATCCCTGCTGCTGCTTTATCTTGAAGAATTGATTGAAAATGTCTGATGAATCCAGAGATCTAGTTACTTAATGCATTTAAATTGTATATTAAATTGTATTGAATTAATTTATCCCTTCCACTCTAAAGGATTTGAATAGAAGTTACCGTTAGAGGTATTAAATTAACAGCATGGTGACAAGGTTCATTATTGTACAAAAAAACACGTTTTTCAAAATAGCATTCAACCTTCTACATGTTAATTTAATACTTGGCCTTTCCCTTGTAGACTTACCTTTGAATAAGTTGCACAATTGTAACTTTCTGGAAACGTGTTTGTAAATGTTTTACCGTCTGTTTTTAAACATTCCACATGGATAACCTTTCTGGGTCTCGAGCAAACAATTTCAAGCAGGTTGGGCTTTTTTACTTACAGTAGAAATCCAATTATAACATGGGTTCACTTATTGCTTACAATAACTTACTCAAAGAAAGCGCACACAAATGGTGCCGACTGTATTTCTGCACGCTTGCACAGCGAATACTGAAGCATTGAACAGTGACCATTCCCCGTTATAACATTGGTTGGGGTTTCATGGACCTCAACTACTACGTTATAGATGGACTCTACTCTAATACGGTACTATAAAAATGGAGCCTGTATTGTGCAAATCATAGTTGCGTCTCAACACATCAAACATCAGATTGTAAAAAACTCTTTTTTTTGCTTCCAGGACATGGATTACTCTTCAGAACTAAACACGAGAAGAGATTGGAATGGAAATTAATTGAGGATGGAATACTAGAGAATGGAGACAAGATTGAATCACATTTGGACTAGAGAAAGAAATCTATCTACTCCTACTTCCTGGAAAGATGAGCTTGTTTAGATCTAAGCCTGAAAGTTTCTAAAACCAGGTTTCAGTCTGGTCTGATGCGCATTCTCAAAACATATAAACATACACAAGGCTTGAGCGAGGGCAACCCGAGTTGACTGGCAAAATATTAATGTTCGAGTTTTTCCGATGAACATCCCAGTCACCTAGTAACAAACATTAGTCGCAATCACAACCCAATTCCCAATAATCTAGTTTGGACATCCTGGGGCTGTTCCTGTTGCCAATTGTCTGTTTGACAATGGAAGTCGACACTTCTGCATATGAAGCCACCGATTGTGCCCACCTGTTTTAAGTCTGAATGCATGTTAAGAACACAAACATACAACTCAAATCAATCTTTGCAGAATAGATGGATAAAATTGAAACGTGACTCATTTACATGCTAGAAATGCTCCCAGTGCTGGTTATAAAAAGATCAATTTCCCCATGTCCCAGTGCCTAGCACATTTTTTGGGCAATTTTTAATGCTCTGAAAAGCTTTGTGTCCTCCCAAGAAGAAAACAAAATTCAGTAGATTGTACTGCTCTGCTAAACACGTGTGACCATTGAAGTAAGTTGATAAGACTGCATAATTCATAACTACTAAAACAAATAGAAAAAGGTCTGCATGGTACAGCAAGGAGCTAAACCATGACATATGTGTTGCATTATTTTTTGTGGTGCTTATGAAAGTGAATTAAACCCTATTGCATTAACCACATCTGCATCAGCGAGCAAACTAACTTTCCCCAGAAAAGCCATATTAGAACCAGAATCTCAAAGAATCATCCTTCACTGTGATTCCCCTGCACTCAAGTGTCTGGTAGCTTTCATTGACCATCTTTAATCCTTTGAGAACCTGATGTCCAGTAACAGACAATGTGGTAGATTTGGCATTGAGATTGATGGGTAGATTGTCAGCTTCACAGAGCGGTTTCTGCAATAACGGGTCACATAGGAGTTGTCCACTTTTGATACATCTTCTCTGGATTAAGCGATTTCTTTACGTGAAGCATTGATTCACTTAAAAATTCTCTCTGGTTAATAATAGTTGTTTTTGATATAGCGCTTTATCACATCTTCGAGACATCGTAAACCACTTCAGAATATATTATAAAGTGAATTTACTGTATATTTTATAGGCAAAACGTGGCAGCCGGTTGCGCACAGCAGTGTCCCACAAACAGTCGTGAATTGAGTGACCAATTTGGGGGGATTATTACCCTTGGAAAAGCGATCTGCCAATTGACTAACAACCGGGTTCCTACTTACTGCTAGGTAAACAGAGGAGCAAAAAACGATGTAAAATGAGAATAGAATTTTCTAAAAAAAAATATTGAGTTCACTTAAGTTCAATTGAATATAGTTTTGAATTGCAAATAAAGCTGAATGGTCCTTCCTGGAGTTAATCTCTTACAGTTGCAATTCAGATAATGGTCAAAATTTCTCCAGGACCAACAGACATTCAATCTTTCTATTTGTGTTCTGTCACATTAGCATCATGTGAATAAAATATACACAAAGTGATTGGAATTCAATGACCAGATATAGTTTCTTAGCAGTAAAATTTGTGAAAGCTGCCATCTGGAAGCTATGAAACAAAAAATGGCTAGTTCTGTAGTGAGAGCTTTTACTTCAATCAAAATAAGCTGTTAGGGGGGAGGGAATACATATTATGGTGTGTGCTGTTTGCTTTTTTTTAAACACTTATAGGACGTAGCATGTGATAGAGTGGATATCTAATCTGTGCCACTACAATTAAGGCATAAATGTTCAAGTTATTTTATAAGATGTGGCAGGTGAGTTCCTTAGTGGATCAGCTTCCTTTCATCTGATGAAAAATTTAACAAATGTCCTTATTAACAAAGTACAGTGTTAATTGTTCTGGATTTGCAGTAATTTGCTTATCTGCAAAAAAAACGTTCCCCAAACATAACGGCTATTTTTTAGCTGCCGTTGTCCTAGGAATTAAGCTTCAAGATAATCTTATTTTATTGGAAGGAAATTGACAATCAATTTACCTATTAGAATTTTGCTATTGGCATATTCTAAAGTTCTTTTCCCCAATCATATTTTTTCTTCCTTACTCTCCTGCAGGCATCTAAACGCTTAAGAAGGCAGTTGACAGGCTTGCAGTAAGAACTCTTTAACTGACTTTCACCTCTGTAACCAAGGGCACTGAGGCCAAAGCTTAATTGTTAATATTACATTTATTGGGACGTTTAGGAATGAATAAATTAATGAATAAATAGGATTGGCTATATAGGATAAAAATTGGTTTAGTCATTGGGAAAATTGATGCACAAATGGCTTGAAAGTTTTTCTTTTAACTTTTTTTTTAAAAAATCAAGTTGGCTCGGAATTGGAGAGGCCAGCAGCAGATTTGCAGAAGACAAAATAATGATCATGTAGTTTAGTTTTTTCTGGTTAGCTTACTGTGTTGGGAGCCCGAGAGCTTACAATGATTTCTTTGTGGCCATAACAATAATGACAAACAGTTCTAGAACTATAAATGCGGGTGTGTATAATATGTATAGGTTACACAATTTACATTGGCTCTTTGGTAATTTATTCTTTTGAGTTTGACACTAGTCTCATATTGAGTGCTAGGACTTGGTGGCAGGATGAGGAGCTTGTTTAGATCCAACGCTGGCATTTTCTAAACCCAGGATTTAGAAGAATATTTTACTGTGCCAAGCTTAAGGAAGCATTTTACTGGAATGTCAGTATATCTATAATTTTTTGGGACTGTTAATATTTTCCTTGGAAATATTTAATAAAAACAATTTATAATATTTTGTGCATGGTTATTTCTTGTTCTGAAAACCTTCACCTCTACTTCTAGCCGTCTGTAGCAATAGAAATTCTTATTAGTTAAACGCAATACGGCAGCCAGTGTTGTGATGTGGCAGAAGCTGTTTTTTGTTTTCTCCCTTTGCAGTTCTCCTCGTGGTTCCATGGCTTCAGCGAACTTTCTCAAAAATCAAATGAATAAGTTTACTCACATTCTTGGCAACCCCCTACCTCTCCGATGTGCTCACACCCCACTTCTCTGCTGGTCGCCACATGTCCCCTGTCTCCTCTGCTCCACAATTGGAAGCCGTGCTTTCAGCCACTGTACCCCGAATCTCTGGGACTCCTTTTCTCAGTCTTGCCCGCTCTTTGACAGTCTTCAAATCACACCTGAAGATTTTCCTCTTCAATTGTGCTTATGTCACACACACCCCACCCTGAATCAAGCCATGACACTAAGTACTCTCAGATGCTGTGACCCACAAAGATAAATGAAGCTATATAAGTGCAAGCTGTTGCAATATCGCCAGATATAACATTTCATTTTTGTTGTAAATGCCTTAAATCCTGTACAAACATCTACAGTCATGGCACTAAACTTCTCCACTGCTGCCACCGTCATCTAACATGAGACATTGCTCTCAACAAATGAAATGGGAGGAAAAATAGGACATTTGTTTTGCATTCGAATATGCCAGTGGATGAATAAACGATGCATTAAAGGTTAACAAACTGAAAGAATATGAAGTTATGGTGGATAATCAAGAGATGTGCAAACGTGGCACCTGAACGGTGGCTTCAAACGCTCTGCAGAATGATAAAATAAGTCAAGCAATTAACTAGAAGTGTGTAGAAGAGAGAATTTCTAAAAAAAAACAAATTGGACAGAATAATAATAAATAATCCTTGCATTTGATATAGCACCTTATTAAGACATCTCAAAGCGCTTCACAGAATATACTGTAAAGTGTAGTGACTGTATTTTGTGGGTGGAACGCGGCAGCCAATTGCATACAGCAATAAGATTGGAGAGTAAAGTTGCTCACAAAATGAGCAGTAATTACATGTCTGGGAAACAAGCATTTTATTGTTATCCCTGAGATCGAGAAAGAGGAATAAAAATATTGTTTAAAAGGCTGAAGGAAGGATGTGTTATTCTGATTTAAGAATAAACGTGGCTTCTCAGATAAAAGGTTAGTCACCTAGAACTGCAGTTACAGAGTGAGCACAAACAAATATAAAATCAATAAGCCTGAAGTACCTTATTACATCATCTTACATCTTAAGAATTTTTTTTCTAATTCTGCTTCATTCAGTGCAAGGAAAGCTTTCCCCCTGCATATATGATTTATATTTTAAAGGTGACATTAATTTAACAAAGATTTTTTTAAAAAAATGTAGGTACACAGAAACTCAACCCACCATTCAAAGTTAGGCAGCCACTGAAACAACCCAAATGATGTGCTCACAAGGAATTGTAGGTGGTTTATCTATGTTCCATTCACTTTATACTGATTTATTTTTTCTATATTTTGAGTGCATCAAAATTCATAAGTGCAATCATTCCCAACAGAACGTATGTTGACTCATTTGTTTCGCAAAATGAATAAAAAGTATTTTTTTTATTCACAAGAAATTCAATAGTCCAATGGCGAATAGATGGCGGAAAAGGTCCTTAAATCAATCAATCAAGGATCTTGGAATGCTCCTTGGAATATATGGCAGAAACAGACAGAATCACAAATCTCTACGTCACCTACTCATACAGCTTTTATAGAACACAGTCTTCTATGATATGAATTGCCTTCCTGAAACACTTTTAACATTCCAGTTCTTTGTGTTGTTCTCACTCCCTGCATAGAATATGAATTGATAAACCTCTACCTTCGACTGAATGTTCTTAAGTGTCATAGAGCCCAATGCATTTTACATTAGCATCTCATAGTAACCGCTAAAGAATAAAAGCACGTAGCAGGTTAACAGTAGCTCCAGCATAAAATTCAGGAGACAACGCTCACAAGTAGTGAGGTTGTAATCAGAATCCTGTTTTTTATGATTATACACACTTAACAGAAGTGTATTCAGTGCTGGTGGCATTCACTTTTCAAATTCCTTCCACTAAAACTCAAATAATAAAATTGAATCTAGACCAACATATACTATCTGAATCTCCCCCACAGCTATCTCACTTGAAATAGGTTGAGGAAAAATGGATTCTGTTAGTGCCGAGTGAATATATTCTAGGGAACATCAACATGGCCACAAAACTGATAATGCTGAGACAAATGGGACTATTTGTGACCTTAATTTAGTTCCGACCGTTAAGATGCACTTGTGAAGGATCCATACAGTAAAAACCTATCCAAGTTCTGGCATCTGGTGAATGAATCCATCTGATCATTTGGCTTTATTATAATAATAATCCTTGCATTTGATATAGCACCTTATCACATCTTCAAGATGTCTCAAAGCGCTTCACAGAATATACTGTAAAGTGAATTGACTGTATATTTTGTGATATATACACATTTGATTCATATGTTTTGTATTTATATTTTATTCTATAATACTTGTATTTGATATAGCGCTTTTCACGTCTTCTAGACGTCTCAAAGCACTTCACAGAATATGCTGTAAAGTGAATTGACAGTAATATTTGTGGGCGAAACGCGGCAGCCAATTGCGCACAGCAGTGTCCCACAAACAGTCGTGGATTGAGAATGACCTATTTATTTATTTATTTTGGCGGGATTATTATTAGGCTGAGTGTGGAGTAAGGAAACTTGCCCAAGATTTCGCCCGGCCTGGAATTGAACCCAGGTGTCTCGCTTGCAAGGCAAGTGCTCTAACCACTGAGCTACAGGACTCCTCTTAGTCTTACTTGTTAAGGTGAGTGAAAGACAATGGCTCTTAATCTTATGAAACATCTGATGATTTTGTAGTGATCTCACTTCTTGGGATCTACAGTAAATTAATTTGGAATTCACTTTTGATTGAGACCTTGACCCAATGTCTTAAATATTTGACCAAACAGTGATGGCATACTGATCTGAATCTCACTAACATTGAATATGACATGAATATCTGTTGAACGCACAGTCAGGTATCTAATTACACAACCACTCAAGCATTCTTTCTGAAGGCAGAATATCCAGAGTAAGATGTTACTTTGATAACCAACATTAGATGGAAATTTTGTTCAGATTGCCTTATCCATTAAATCATCCTCTTTTGAGATATTGGCATACAGCACTTCAGGAGAACTGGAATCATTGGAATTCAAACCCATCTTAGACATTCTACAACTATCTATGTCACCTACTCATGCAGCTTTTGTAGAACACTGTTATAAATTGGGTATAACCCCATTATAAAAGCTTATTCACTGCTTGATAATAATAATCCTTACATTTGATACAGCGCCTTTCACGTCAGAAGGATTGTCCCAAATGGCTTCACACTGTACTCTAAATTCTACTGATTGTGAATTTTGATGTCTCCTTTCTACATAGTTTTGCAGAGTGAAGCCAGAACCAGAAGGAGATGTTGTGGGTTTATCTACCCTCCAACCAGGTCTCCTGAAGATAATGAAACACCTTTTCCTTTCTCATTAAGATTAAGATACCAAACGTTTCAATATTGTGTGGCCGTCAGATTTCTCAGTAAATATTGCTCTTCAGATAGTGATCACATTACCGGGCCAAGAATCCTACCTCATTCAGAATACTTTGGGCAGAAGATCTAAATAACTGTCAAAACAATTAATGACATCCAGGGAAGAAGGATGCATAAATTTAAATTGACAAATTGTCATGATTATTTTCGCTGTAGTTTCACCATGTCAGCAGTCAGCTTTGGGATTAAAAACTAAAACTACCGTCTTCTTTCTCTTTCAGACACTGATTATCCTGTTGTGCATTTCCAACAATCCCTAGTTTATTTCAGATTCCTTATTCACTATCATTAAAGTCAAATAATTAAAGACCTTTTTTAGTGTTTACATTAGAAATGAAGCAATGAAGTAATCTTTATCTATCCAAATAACCCTCCCCTGCAAAGCCACTTCGCTTAAATGTGCGTCATGTATATGAATCACTCAAATATTGGCTAACTTGCCATTCAATATTCTACATAATTTACCTGTGGCCAAAAGATCAAGGAAAGCTGAGACTTGACTGTGAGCTGAATCTTAATAAGTCAACGTAATGTTTCAAGTCGTGAACATAGGAAATGCTAGACGAGAAACAGACCAAGGTCCATCTAGTTTACCTTCTAATCGCATGTTACAATAATGGAGATGTTGGTAGCAATAAATTCTGTATGAATTAATCTACCGAAGAAAAACTGTTGCAGAACACATCCGTTTTACGCACTTACCCAATGCAAAAAAATAACCTGCTGTCATTTCAGCAGGGACAGGCACTGTGTTTACAAGGCATGGATAGTTACATACCCTATCAGAATGCATAAAGATGAATAGACTCAATTCAAAGAGAAAAATCAATAAAGGACATTTTATCCACATGTCTTTATGTTGAAAAGGATTTAGATGATGAATGTGAAAACAAAACAAGAGAGACTTTTACATCTCGGTCAGAAACTGTTTCAGCTTCAGGCTTGGATGAATTTAGCTCCATCGGCCATTGTGATTGTCCTTGTAAATATAATTACTAAAGGTTTTTAAATTACAAGTTGCTTCCTGGAAAATATACATGTTCATATTGCTGTGGATTTTCTTGTTTTTCTTCCCCTCTAACCATTTCAGCCCCGAATTTATTTTGTCATCTTTAAAGTGATTTATGCATTATCAGACTTATATCAGAGTCTGCCTGTTCAAGAGGACATCAAACATTCGAGAGCACCATTCGAAAGAGAATGGAGTTTCTCTCAGTGTGCAGACCAACAATCCGCCAGATGAAAAATGGTCATTCATGGCTGTTTATGGGGCATTACCCTTGTGCAAAATGGCTGCTGCATTCATCTATAAATACACAGTTTACAC